CCGCTGTGCAACGCCAATCCATTTTGGTGTACTTCATCTAGAATGCATTTGCTTCCTCCTTAGGTGAACCAAATGGGCAGAATCCTTGCTACAAGCAACAGCAGAGAGGTAAGCAGTGTGCTTGTGTGCATGCTTTGTAATGTTAGGAAAGCGTCTTTTAAACTATATATTTCCTCGTCGCTTTTACAAGCTGGATAATTAGCTAGACAAATGCTTATCAAGATGGCAGTGATGCTGGAGACTGGCACAGATTCGGCCCCCTATATACATATTGTGAGTTGCTGGGTTCCCTTGGCAGCTCCTCAGCCTCAGCCTCTCCCCCCCCCAACTATTGGTTCTGGCCAAAGCAAAAGGCAGGGGAGGGCCTGTTTCTCAAGGACTGGCACTGTTCAGCACTAAGCCAGAGTGTACTTTGGGGTGAATTTGAGGGCGAATGCTCAGTAGAGGAAGAGATGATCTCTGTGGGAATTAGACTGTAGTTCCTATTTGCAGAGTATGTGGAAGACAGACCTGGGTTATCTGAGCCTTTCATTCTCTTTTCCCTCATATAGAAACGATGCAAAGCACTCTCCTTTAAAGTTAAAAGAATGCATAACTTTTACTTTGTGTAAAAGGAGTTTTATGTTTCCTTCAAATATTTGGCTTCTCTGATGTACTATCAGCTCTGGTGACAAATGTTCTATAAGGGCTGGTGAAGCTGTGGGTGTTATTGTGCCGTTTTTGTTCTTTTCTTCCTTTTGTACCAACCCCAACATCTCCTAAAAGTCTTCATCAAAACATTCTATTTTGTTTTACTGCTGTGGACATTTTGAATAGTTTTCAGTCGAAATAAACTGCCTCCCAAGCTTAAATACATGTGTGTATAGGAAAACATCCACAGCAGAAGGGAAAGTCAGCAAATTACTATATATCATAGTATATGAATAGTCTACATCACTTCTCCAATGATGAATAATTCAGATTTATCACTTGCAAGAAACTGTTCTGTAATTCAATCCTCAGATACTACGACTGATGCAAAGATACAAAGCCATGGGGAACAATCCGCAGCAAACACAGGTACTGTCATAACCTTAAAAGCAAAGTAATTGAGGTGCAAGAAGTTGGAAAAGAAAAATTAAGTTTCAACTGCATTGTTCTTGTGAATGTGACTTCTCAAGATAATCTTTAACTGCTGCAGAATTCAGTCATAAGTTTAGTTCTGTATTCCTGTATGCTGGCTTTACCACTGAATATTACCAACATTGAAATTTCAAGGCTAATTTGATGGCTCAGTAGAAGCATCCAGTTCAAATGGCAGTGGAACAAGAAATGGAGAACAGGGAGCTTGGAATGCCAACAATTCCTTGTCAGACAAGGCTGCCCCACTTCAAGCTGCTCAAAGCCCACTTTAAGCTTCTCCTAACTTAGGTTTGGGCTTGGACAACACCTCTAATCTTTGCAGCTGGAGACTGAGTACAAGACCCACAATCCTCAGCTGCATATGGCAAGCAAGGCTAGGTTCTGCTCAGTAAGGGAGGTGCAGAACTAATAAGGAGGGGAGTAATGGGGGAGGGTGTCTATATTCTGAGTTTTGCTAGCATTTATTGTGAGCATTTCAAGGTCTTTGAGTGCATGGTAGGAATGCTTCCAAAACCAGGTGTTTTTTTGAGACAAATAAGAGAGTGTCTGCACATGTTATAATCCAGGAGAACTAATGGAGTCTATTCTTGCCTCAAAGGGACATTTGGCACCACTACTCAAATAGACTTCTGTCAGTATCCTTAACTCTGAGCCTCTTGCGCTTTCTCTACTTTATGGGACTTCCTCCCAATCTTCAGCATCCCCAGTAAAGCTATTTCTGTCCCTAGAAGCTGATGTGTGGTTTTAACCCCAGCGAAACTGACAGCATTGCTGTCCTTCACAGACCCACAGATACTGAATTGCAAACATTCTGATACACTTCCCACCCAAATATGATAGATGGTAGACGATAGACGATAGACGATAGATAGATAGATATAGATAGATAGATGATAGATACTGTAGATGATAGGTAGTAATAGCTTGCTCTTCACCAAATGGTCCAGGGAAAGTTACAAAAATATCACAATTAAAACAAGTGCAATTTATAGTAAAATCATAAAAGACCACAAAACTAACCGATAACAAAGTTAACAAAACAGGAGCCCAGAACAGCAATGGATAGGAAGGAAAGAGTAAGGAAGACATATACTCAACCAAAGGCAATCCATACTGGATCTTCCAATAGGTAACAGTGGCTAACTAGTACAACCTCAGTGCAATATAGAATTAATTTCATCATTAGAAAGGGGAAATCTTGGAGCAGTAGCAACACTTTGGGAGAGCTTTTCTTTATTTCAAACAGAGGCCATCTCTCTTTAAGAACTGAAGCAATAAGCAAACATAAACCTGATCCTTAAAATAAAATAAAATAAAAACAACGTTCAAATTGCATACTTCATCCTTAATTTGTGTTCCCTCCTTGATGGTAGCAAAGGCCAAGATTGGGGCCTGGAATGCCTCCAGCAAAGCTGGTTCCAGATCAGAATCCATCAGTAAACCAGGTGCCCAATGAGGTAAGCTGGAAAGAATTCATCTCACAAGTCAGTGTTGTGTAATGCGTTTCCATGGTAGTGGGTACTGCTATTTTAGAAGTGCAGACAGAGAAATCTATGCCAGCTGCTCGACTCCAAATTGCAGGCCTTCTGGCTCATGGGGGAATGACCCAGTGGAACTGGTCTGGCTAGGTCCATTAAACAAGATGCTGTAGGTGGGCTGAAAGCAAGGAGCTTAGAAGTCCCAGGCCTTATGGTTTGAGGGCAAAAATGAGAAAAGTTTGCAGCAGGCAGATCTGATATAATGGCTCACATTCTAGAGGGAGTCTGGTGCCTGACTGCCTTCGCAGATGAGGCTTCTGTTACTGTTATGGAAGACTGCATATACATCTGTTCTGTGTGGTTCAAGACAAAGAGATCTGGGCGCTGAATGGGAAGACATTTCTCTCTTACTGCTGGTGTTATTTGTGCTACTAAATTGACTGTGCAGAGAGGAAGTGAGGTGGTTAGAAATACATTTTCTTAAGCCCAAGTAAGTGGTTCCATCTAGGTCCCTCTGTACTGCACATGAAGGGGTCAGTCTATGGACTGGAGAGAATAATGATGATTCTGGGTCTGTGGCAATACTAGTTCACATTCCTGCAGCAGCAAGTGTAGGACAGGTGGGTCAATCCTATTCAGAATCAGAACTGGGACTAATGGACCTCAAGAGTCCAAATTGCTCTTGGTCTTGTGTGTTTCAGAGCTAAATACCCTTGTTTTGAAGTCATTTCCTTAGTCTCATCTATTTCCACTGGACCTACTTCTGAATAACTGTGTTTGGGATTACATACAAAGTCTTTTCACCACAGCTGACTGTGGCTCAGATTTCAACTAAGAATATGGGAGATAAATTTTGCATATCTCACGCCCAATATCTTGATTCAAACTATGCTTATCCATATTAGAAGAGTTTGGATTTGATATCCCGCTTTATCACTACCTGAAGGAGTCTCAAAGCAGCTAACATTCTCCTTTCCCTTCCTCCCCCACAACAAACACTCTGTGAGGTGAGTGGGGCTGAGAGACTTCAAAGAAGTGTGACTGGCCCAAGGTCACCCAGCAGCTGCATGTGGAGTAGTGGAGACGCGAACCCGGTTCACCAGATTACGAGACTACCGCTCTTGACCACTACACCACACTGGTGTATTTACTCTGGCTAAAATTCTATACACAATGGGGTTAACTCCTATTGAATTCTGAGTGGACTGCACTGTCCATCTGTTCCAGCGTAACCAACTTTCCAGGTTATATTTATTAAATGCATGTTGATCAATGTGATTCTTTGTCACCCTTTAGCAGGTTGCTCCACTTGAATGGACGTTTGCAAATTTCCCAGTTACTTCCAATTTCCCACAAAACCCATCAGAGCTGGGAGGGCCAAACATGCAAGTAAGGAAGCTTCTTAAAGGGTTATGTGCCATCTTAAAAGCAGATCATAAATGCATTGTGCTTTTCTAACTTGTAACAGAGATTTGAGTATTATTTTATTTTATTTCTCCATATAGTCCATGAATTACTTTATTTCAGCATATAGTCCAGATACTGTTCAACTCCAGCTCCCACCATCCCTGACCATAGGCTATGCTTACTGGGGCTGATGCAACATTTGGAGCTCCCCCTCCTATTACCTTCTTCTAGAACCTTGTTTTACCTTTTCCAGTGTTTTTAAATAAAACTGAAGGATACATTGGCCTGGTTGACACATCACAACGAGCCAACCATGGCTAAGCACATGTGTGTTGAGGTCTCAGCCACTTCATTCCATTCTCCTGTTGTGCTGAGCTAAGCCATGGTTTGGCTTAAGATGTCTTCTGAACCTGTGCTCATGATGTAGCTCTCCCAGACTCTCTCCACAAGCCATAAACCACAGGACAAACCTTAAAGTTCATAGTTAGTCTGTAGAGGGCTAAACCACAAGCCCATGTTTAGATGACATGATAAGCCAAGCTATGGTTTATTTGCAGTGCAGTGCAGCTCAGCAGCAAAACAACTGTAGAGGAGAATATCAGCAGCAGGAGTCCCCATGTTAGTACAGTCATGCTAGGCCATGGTTTCACTTGGTATGTGAAAGAGGCCATCAGTTCTTCACTGTTGTGAAACATTCATTGTGAAGTCACTCAACAGTAAGTTTTAAAAATGAGATTTCAAATGGTTTGATCTTTAAGGGCTAACCTAAATATTCTAGAGCTGCTATTATTGATTTGAATGATTTCTCCTATTCCGCAGCCAAGAAAAGTTCCCAGAGCAGCAAACACTGCTCTGTTGCATCATCTGATATCCAGAATACTCCTTGAACATTAGAATACAAAGTAATATTCTGCCTAGCAAATGTATTATATACAATGACTTTCAATGTTTTTGCATAAATCACTTTAAAAAACCTCAGTCATTTTTGTGTTACAGAACTTTCCTGGCTATAATGTACTACCATTCACCCAGATGCTCCCAATGGACCTTAATTCTGTAAGTTATTTTTCTTCCTAAGCATGCCATGTTCTATATTTGGTTTCATCACTGCAAGATTATTTTTTTTAACAAAAAGAAATTGAAGAAATCATTCTGGTTTTGCTCTATAGGAAGTTTTGTCACATCTGAAGGTGTTCTGATGCAAGAAGACACCATTATTGCTGCTCCTATTACAGAACTTCTATTTATCTAAAAGAGTCAAAATATAACGTCATAAGCACGATGTGTCCCAATTTTTCTGGTACATCTCTCTTTCAAGCCACTGTCAATGACTTCCTTTTCTTTTTTGAATGGTTAAAGTTGTTGCTCTTTGGGGTTCTAAGAAATACACACACACACACACACACACACACAGACACGAAAATAATATCTCCCAACCCTGTAGCAGCAGGTGCTGTTGCTTACAAAGCGGGGGAGGGGCAAGGTGCCAGAGACCTGGGTGCAGTGCGAATGGGCCAGATGAGCCAATCCGGTGCTCCCACAACCTCCCCACTGCTGTCCCAATAAGCGGCAGTGAGTCATCTGCCAGGAAACTAGTGTGCTGGCTCTGCCCACCCACTGACCTCATGGTCAGATTCAAGCTGGAATGAAATTTCTCTGAAAACAATTTTCTGATAAATGTTGTGAATTTTTCTTTCTTTCTTTCTTGAACTGAACTGAACTGCTGGAGAATGTATTTTGAGGGAAAACAGTCCTAATCCAGAATGTAGTTTCTATCAGTTTCCTGCTTGAGCAGCAACCCCCACCCAGCTGCTTTTTGTTTTGTTTTTTTAAATTAATATTTATTACTTTTCCAACAATTTAAACACTACAAAAACAATACAATACAATGCAATACAATACAAAAACACTACATAACATTGACACATTAAATACATTAAACTAACAAAACAAAACAAAAACAGTTTAAAATATATCAAACAATTTCAATATCTTATCTTTCATTCACTTATTTCCACGACCTCCTCACACCTCCCTTTTTGTATTCCACTTCTGTTAATTGTTTCAGCAATTCCTTTCCATCTTCCTCTGTTTTCTATCCTATAATTATCTTAACACATTCTAACCTTATTTTTTCCTTTAATACTCTATTAATCTATTTATACTTAATTCTTTATAACATTTCTACTAAAGCCATATAATTGCATTCCAACATTTTTCTAACATTCATTAATTTTACAGTATTTCTGTAAATAGTCTTTAAACTTTTTCCAGTCTTCTTCCACCAACTCTTCTCCCTGGTCTCGGATTCTGCCAGTCATTTCCGCCAATTCCATATAGTCCATCAACTTCATCTGCCATTCTTCCCGGGTGGGTAAATCTTGTGTCTTCCAATACTTCGCGATGAGTATTCTTGCTGCTGTTGTTGCATACATAAAAAAGGTTCTATCCTTCTTTGGCACCAATTGGCCGACCATGCCCAGGAGAAAGGCCTCTGGTTTCTTCAGGAAGGTATATTTAAGTACCTTTTTCATTTCATTATAAATCATCTCCCAGTATGTCTTAATCCTTGGGCACGTCCACCAAAGGTGAAAGAATGTACCTTCAGTCTCATTACATTTCCAACATTTATTGTCGGGCAAATGGTAAATTTTTGCAAGCTTGACTGGTGTCATGTACCACCTATAAATCATTTTCATTAAATTTTCTCTTAAGGCATTACATGCCGTGAATTTCATACCTGTGGTCCATAACTGTTCCCAGTCAGCCATCATTATATTATGTCCAACATCTTGTGCCCATTTAATCATAGCTGATTTCACCGTTTCATCCTGAGTGTTCCATTTCAACAGCAAGTTATACATTCTTGACAAATTCTTGATTTTTGGATCTAACAGTTCTGTTTCCAATTTTGATTTTTCCACCTGGAAACCAACTTTTTTGTCCAAATTGTATGCCTCCATTATTTGGTAATAATGGAGCCAATCTCGCACTTTATTTTTCAATTTTTATTTTTCAATTTTTCAAAACTCTGCAATTTTAGTCTGTCTCCATCTTGTTCCAGAATTTCCCAATATTTTGGCCATTTGGCCTCCATATTGAGTTTTTTCTGTGCCTTCACTTCTATTGGTGACAACCATCTTGGGGTTTTCTTTTCTAGCAAATCTTTATATCTTATCCAAACATTAAACAATGCTTTTCTGTTTGCCCCCAAATAGCAGCTGAGAGGAGAGGGAATTTTCAGCAGGAACCTTGCATAGGTTGCCTGTCTAAAACGGGACCCCATGTCTTCAAAGTCAAAGCACACTTTTAAAAATGCTGCAGATAAAGTAAAATGGTGTTTGGCCCTGTGTGCCCCCGTTTAGCAGGCAAGTGGAAGAGGATCTATGGATCACCAGAGGCACAGGTGCAACAGAACAACCAAAGGGCTTCCAACGTCTGCTCCTCAAACTGTCTGCTCCTCAAACTGACACCTTCTTCTCAGAGGTTTCTGTCTGCTGTAGTTCCGTCTTCCAAACTGTGTTTGGTGCTGTGAGTAAAAAAGCTGGTGCCCAATTCTCAGGCCTTCAGGTTGAGGTCACACACTCATACCCTCCAACATTTCTCCGATAAAAATAGGAACATCCTATTCCATAATATTAATTTCGTTCATTATACCTCGCCCATCTGACTGGGTTGCCCTAGCCACTCTGGGCAGCTTCAAACATACATAAAAACATAACAAAACATTAAACACTTAAAAAAAAAAAACCTTCCCTATACAAGGCTGCTTTCAGGTGTCTTCTAAAGGTTGAATTTTTACATATCTCCTTGGCTTGGATAACTCCATATTTTGCTGATGAAAATAGGGATGTCCTAAGGAAAAGTGGGACATTCTGGGATCAAATCAGAAACTGGGTTGGCTTCTATAAATACAGGACTGTCCCTGGAAAATAGGGACACTTGGAAGGTCTGCACGCTGCCTGTCAAATGATGCAAACAACGACATTCTTCAAACTGACTCAACATTGTCTTGGCAACATTGTGGCTGCCCTGCTTACCCATCATGAGCTGGCCTGGGCTGAAGGCTGAAGGCCTCTGCTATGACAACAAAGCTCATGTCCCTGTCATCTGCTGTGTTTGGAATTAAAATATTTATGGTTCTGAGAAATTTTAATCAGATTTTACATAATTGATTTCAAATGGAGCATTTCTTCTCTTTCTGTATTTGTCCCTGATAGTTTCAAACCCTTATTTGTTTTCACATAGCTTGCTATCCTGTTGGGGGCATTGACACTTCCTCAGACGCTGCCTGTAGCGGGCGTTGGAACAACTATGCCACAACAACAGCTGCTGCCACCCCAATCGGTAAGTATTTTATAGCACTTTGAGGCTGCAATCTCATACCTGATTTGTTGTTTGGTCATTTAGTCGTGTCCGACTCTTCATGACCCCATGGACCAGAGCACGCCAGGTGCTCCTGTCTTCTACTGCCTCCCGCAGTTTGGTCAAACTCGTGTTAGTAGTTTCGAGAACACTGTCCCACCATCTCGTCCTCTGTCGTCCCCTTCTCCTTGTGCCCTCCATCTTTCCCAACATCAGGGTCTTTTCCAGGGAGTCTTCTCTTCTCATGAGGTGGCCAAAGTATTGGAGCCTCAGCTTCAGGATCTGTCCTTCCAGTGAGCACTCAGGGCTGATTTCCTTAGGAATGGATAGGTTTGATCTTCTTGCAGTCCATGGGACTCTCAAGAGTCTCCTCCAGCACCATAATTCAAAAGCATTAATTCTTCGGCGATCAGCCTTCTTTATGGTCCAGCTCTCACTTCCATATATCACTACTGGGAAAACCATAGCTCTGATTACCTGGCAGTAAATCCCACTGAACTCTGAGCATGCACTTATAGGATGGCACTGTAAACATACTAATGGTGCAAGTCTATATAAGTCTGCTCCAAAGTGAGCAAAGGTTGGCGGCTAATAGTGTCTACACTATTCACCCTTCGCCATTTGGGAATTTATGTTGGTGCTAGTGAAGAGATACTGGTGCAACACTAGAAAAACAGCACTCACCCTTCTAAGATAAGACAGCTAGAGATTGGAAACTGGAATGCAAATGAGAATAATGTCCCAATAACTTCTGTGATTACTTGTAGCTTTGTAAGGGGAAATCTACAGCTTCCAGGATCATTGGGTAGGAAATGTGCTTTAAAAGTATGGTGCGTATTTTAAATTTGTCAAGGAGGTGCCAATTATGACAACTTTTCTTGCAGATGCTTCCAATTATAGTTGCGCAAATGGGGCCACAGGTAAGAAGTTAGACAAAATTATTTTAATAATAATAATAATATTTATACCCCATCCATCGGGCATCCACTCTGAATCTCTTGGGCTCTTGAAATATAGTTGTCCCTTTCTTTTTTTCTTTTTGCCTGAAAAATGAGGGGTGAACGCCTGTCAGATATTACTGAGCTACAGTTCCCATCATTGCGGACCACTGGCAATGCTTGCTGGTGCCGATGGGAGTTGTAGTCCAACAACATCTGAAGTGCCACAGGGTCCCCATCACTGCCCTGTTCTCTCATTGCACCTAGTTAGCAGTTGGGTGAGGGAAAGGAGTGACCTCACATTCCCTGCCATATCCACTCTCCACGTGCTGGTGGAAGGTCTGGTGAACCTGTACTACACATATAGGCTCCCTGCATGATTTAGCTCCCCCATGGCCTGGCAGGGGGGGCTAATGGCCATGGCCTCACTTTCCTTGCCCACCCTCCAACATTTCACTGGGAAAAATAGGGATGTCCGATGCTGTTTTTCTAGAAAAAGAGGAGCCGGAATGCACCATGAACACCTCCTTCATTCTCCTAGAATCTGACATTATTGTTAATTGCGTGAGGGAATATGGCTCTAGCTTATTACAGATGCTCATTCTCATAGCAAGGGGAGATGTAGCTTAGTCACAGAGCATTTTCCTCGCAAGCAGAGGGCTGCATGTTCATTCCCCCAGCATCTCTTGGTAGGGTTGGGAAAGATACAAAATACTGAGCTCAACAGTCTGGCTCAATGTGAGGCCGCTTCCTTCCCACGTTTTGCTCTCGAGAGAAACACACAAGTGGAAAGCATGGGGATTATTTCTCTGTCCTGGATCTGGCAGGGTGTTTTAATTCCAATGAAACCTGCACAGAATCACACACAGGCAGATAAGATACCAGATGGCGTAGATGCATGCTAAAGAGCTAGGAACTGGTGGTGTTGCATAGTGGCTACGTTTGTTGACAGACCGAGCTGTGAACAAGGAAGTCCATTTTGTACGTTGCCTCTGCCATATAGTAGTTTGCCTCTTAAGACTACTAGGCTACTATTACTACCAATACTACCCAGTTTGCATTGAATTCGAATAGACGTGTGTGTGTGTGTGTGTGTGTGTGTGTGTGTAAGTGAGTACGCGCGCACACACACACACACACACATACACACACCATTTCTATTGTTTTTATATACTGAATCGTTTCATATCTGTTATTAGCATATTGTAAATTTCTTTTGGGATGCCTCATGGCAAACTACTCCTATATGAAATAAACAACAACCACAAAGCCTGCTGGTGTTAATATGTTGTGTACCTTCTTAAAGATATCATTTAAAAATATACAAAAATATTTCTGCAAATTTAGCTTTTACTTACCTCACCCCTCTCCTTTCTGGGGCTCTAGGGTGCAGTGCTCAGTTCTGAAGAAATGGTAAGTAGCTCACTCCTTAATTTCTTATATTCATTTCTCAAAATAGTTGGTCAGCAATCACCACTGAGCTGTTTCAAGCCCACCCTGTTAGTGTGGCCCCCTTACTTCTGTGGCCTCCACTACATAAGAGAACAATGAAGCACCCATTCCGAGATCCTGTGTCAAGGAGGGGGAGGGTATGTCAGAATTTAGTCTTGGTTTCAGGACTCAGTATCCCTGAGTATTTTAGTTTTAGTTTTGAATGTGAGGAAGCCTTTAGTCAAGGTATATGAAAACTCTGGGCTAAGGGCCAAAACTGGACACCTTGGAACTCTCCCCTGGCTTCCCCTCTATCCCCACCTGATGATGCTCTAGGTACAACACACCCTAGCCAGCTTCCTGGTGTGGGTTTGTGCGACTACCCTCTCTGGCCACACCCTCACACTCTGGCCTCGCCCTCTTTTGGCTCTGACCACACCCACAGCTGGAATGCAAAGGGGCTTCTGTTAGTTTAATCTGGCCCAATAATAACTACTAAGGATTGATGTGTGGGTAGGCTTGCCAAAACAAAAAAGGTTCATGTGCATGACAGTACACCCGTCACCGAATCCAGCTTTTCTTGGAGCAGAATTTGGTATTCTCCCATCTCACCATGGGGTTTAGGGAGATGCAGAAGTTCCAGCTCAAGCACTGTGGATAAGGAGGCGCACTACATTTCTCCTCCTCCTCCTTCCTCTCTCTCTCTAATGTCCAAAGATGTTGGACATTAATGTCTCTGTGATGTTAATGTTAGTCGTCAGACATCCTGACAAGTTTTCTATTGCTTTTCTTCTCCCTTTGTAGCCACCACAGTCGCAGATCGTTGGGGTTCTAGTCCCTGGAGGAGGATTCTTCCCTTTGGGCCAGGCCCTTCCTGAAGGTCAAGAAGATCTTCTTCCAGCAAACCAGGCTGGTTCTAATCAGGGCAACCTACCATTTCCAGAGGGCACAGCAGCAGCCATCCAGAAGATTTCTCCAACAGCAAGTGATGGTCTGAGCGAGGTTGCAAGTGGGTTATACCCAACTCCCTCAGGCTTCAGACAGCCAGGCCCTGTGACGAATGGTGTGTTTGCCGAACCAACTGCTGGCATGAATATGGAGCCGAGTGAACTCCGGGAACCGCCTACTTCTCTCGTAAGACTTGATAAGGACAATAATGGGAAGCAGCAGCACAATCTGTCTCGGTCACATGTGAGAGGAGACAGCTACGTGCCATTAAGCACTGTGGCGAGTAAGCCATTGAAAGAACCATAAAGGGAGACCTTTCAATTATCATGTCTTCTGTGTATTGTATATCATATGCAGATGCTAACATGTGTGTGGTAACTGAGTTGAAATTTGGGCTAGGAGTGGTTGGAGGACTTTTTGTTTTTTGAAAAAATAATAATCATTATGGATTGTATCTAACATTAATCCTGCTTAGAGGAGACCCAATGACATTAATGGACACAAGTAACTTAGGCCCCTCAACTTTAGTGGGTCTTAGTTGGATACAGCCTTACTAGTTGGAAAATTTGGAAATTCCCATTCCAGAAAGGGAAATACTCTTTTAACAGCCTTGTAACAATGCTTAGCAGCTTTTAATTCCGGCTCTAGATCTTAATGACGAGGGGTTGAGTTGGGTGATAAATATTTTAAGAAAGATTATCGTGAGATTCTTTTTATTTAGTTTCATGCCTCTTTACAGTGAGATCCTTTTTCATAAAGATTCTCTCTTATATACAGGGAGGATAACCAGAATCTCCCTTTTCCCTTTTCCAGACACTGTGCAATAATTCATTGGAAGCATAGATCCGTAGCCTGCAAACAAGTTCCATATACTGAGCGGCTATTGTGATAAATGATTAATGGCCAAATTACACATGTGGGCAAAATACCTGAGTTTTTAAACACAGGAACTGCCCAAATCACATGTAAAAGGGTGCCATTTAAAGTACAAATGTAGGTGCATGATGTCCTCTGTGCTGTTTTTGTCTTCAACTAGGTCTGCAGGGGCCACGTGCCAGTTCCTGCCTGCTAGGGATAAGACTTCAAACAGTGCTTCATCCACTTTCTTATATGATACAAAGCCAAAAAAAAAAACAAATTATAAATTCATGGGAGATAAATGTGTCCTGCCGAAGATATCAGATAATGAGAGACTGTCCATCAAAGAACACATTCATTATATTTCACGATTTGACATGACTTGGTGAACAGTGTGCCACAAATGTCCCTTTCCTCATTGTGCCATATTGCATCTGATAGTAATTTCTGGCGGCAATGCATAATAAACAATAAGTCAATAAATATCTTTTCAGAGGCATGTGATTGGGCTTGAATATAGTGCGCTATTCCAGCTGAAGGTTTTAATCATATTAAAGGGAATGAGAAAATTTTCCATTCACAATATGAAGCTTGTTCTGGTTATTTCTTCTTTATGGTTGCTTGGAAATGTTTGTCACGCTATTACAAATATTACGCCTGAGCAAATGTAACAGCTTGCCAGATGGAACGAGCTCCCCTCATCCCCATGTCCTGTTCTGGGGTTTCCTCATGCACACACCCCAATTTTAGGGACACAAGGGGAAAACCCTGTTGCACAAGCAGAGGTTCATTAGATAACAAGAGTATCATAACAAACGTTGCTCGAGTTTAACAAAATCTAATATAGTTTGAAATCCAAACTAGAGCTTTAATAGCTTTAATAACAATACAGCATTAAATATTAAAAATCTCCCAATACAGGGCTGCCTTCAAATGTCTTTTAAAAGTAAGATAGTTGCTTATTTCCTTGACATCTGATGGGAGGGCGTTCCACAGGGCAGGCGCCACTACCGAGGGTGGTACATATTTTAGCGCTGACATATCATGTGGGGCTGGACCTCAATGTCCCCCCCTCCTGGCCTGCTCTCCAGAAGCCACTACGAGCTGCCCAAGAGAGGAGGCTAGTGGTGGCGGCCAAGGAGAGGCCATGGGATGCTCCCATACCCCGCCCAGAGGAAGTAGCCTGAATCCTCGCCAGAGTTTTCTGCCAAACACTGCAAGGTCATGAATCATGACAACAAGAGCATTCTCTCTCACAGACTCACCAACCACAGTGTGTCTGTTTACCCAGTTACTATTTCTACACACATACTATTTCTTGCTGCAGAAGCTTACAAAGCCCTGGTGATTTGTTGCAGAAAACCCTCACTAAAATGCCAGCAATTGTAGCACAACCTGTGTGCTATTTCTGTTTTCCTGAGATCTGTTAACCTGAGCACAAAGCATGTCTGGGAGAAGCTTTCACATCCTTCAAAAAACAGGGGAGTTGTGAAGCTCCTGCAAGGTGAAATCCCTAGGCTGTCCCGCAAAAACAATCTAAGGTGTCAGGCCTGCGAAAGACCCCCAGAGCCTGAGAGTGTCTGGAGACAATATTGGACTAGATCATGGTGTCCCAACCTTGGGTCTCCAGCTGTTTTGGGGCTATAGCTCCCATCATCCCTAGCTAGCAGGACCAGTGGTCAGGGATGATGGGAATTGTAGTCCCAAAACAGCTGGAGACACAGGTTTGGGAAACCCTGGGCTAGATGGACATATGGTGTAAGGCAGTTCTGTATGCTTCTAGTTCATTGGCCATGTACTGCAGCCCTCCAGGTGCATGACAAACTTTCCCCAGCTTTTGCAGTCTTAGGCAAACAGCAAGAATCATGCAGCTCCACAGCTGTCCCATCATATAGCTTAGTGGACTGTGTGACTTGTGATAGGTCACCAGTTGTTTAAGCAGCCATCCTGCTCCGTTGCTGTTTGAGACTTTCTTCCAACCAACTGCCGAGACACGTAACTACTGCCTGTCTCTCCACAAGTCTTTGCTCCTCCACTTCTCTCCCTTTCTTCTCTTCTCCGTTTACTCCTTTGTCATTTCAATCCCTCTTCCTGAACTCCCTCCTTACAATGAAAGCACGAGATACCTGTACATTATTACAATTTATGAACTGTCGCCCATTTTAAATGGTTCGTGCAGCTGGAATGTAAGTGGCTCTGAACACTTTGCAATGCTAACTGGGCTTCCCTATTTGCTCTAACGCCCCATCTGGTCTCTTCAGAAGCCACTTATATGTATTGGGAACGCAGGAGACATCAGCTGGGTAATTTGCTAATACTTTAGGTTGCTCATGGCAGCTCCTGGTCTTTTTGTAATTAATATTTGCTCAAACGTTTCCCCAGGCTAATCAGTATTGATTGGAAAGATCAAAGCGCTCCCCAATCCTGTGCGATCTTTACTTCTTTTTAAATGAATTGCCCCTTCTCGGACATGCATGGAATCTGAAACGCAGTCTTTGCAAGGAGAATATGAAAGCAAACTATTTTAGGATGGAAATGTATTTCCATTTCAAAGCCCCAAAGAACTATTTCTCTGGATCTTCCACTGGCAGACAAAGTCTGGGCTAGAAATACATTCACTGCAGAGATTGCTTGCCTCTAAAAGCAGTGGCGGAGCTTCATGCTCCAGCACCGAGAGGTGGAGAGCAGGTGGGGCGGGGCTGGCGCACGTCCTGGGGGCGGGGCATGTGTCCTGGGGGCGTGGTGCCCAGTGCGGGCGGGGGGCAGCCGTGATGGCACCCCACTGGGATTGCACTGCCAGGGGCGGTGCGCTTCCCCCACACTCCTCTTCCTCCCCCAGTGTCTAAAAGAAGGAAGCCTGGATAGCTCAGCTGGTTACAGCGTGGCACTGATAACGCCAAGGTTGCAGGTTTGGTCCCTGTATGGGACAGCTGCATATTCCTGCTTTGCGGGGCGTTGGACTAGGTGAGCCTCAGGGTCCCTTCCAACTCTATAGTTCTGTGATCCTGTGAAGACCAGACTTTGTCTGGCGCTCCAGATCTTCAGCTCACAAAGACTCCAAGGGAAAGCACTTGCTCTAAACCGGTTTCATTCTACTTATGTGGTTGGTTTCACGAAATAGTATGGGGTGACTGTGATTCAACCCCTGCCGTGGATAGGCAGGGTGATATGATTGAGCCCCCAAGGCTACCTAACAGTTACATGAAGCCTCTGGGGGCAGTCTTTAGAAGATGGGGGGCAAGGGGCCACCAGTATGCTGGTGACACCTAGCCCTAATTTGTGAGATGTAAGTGAGATGTGGGATAATATTTCTTAATATTGAGGTGGACTTTATTATTATTATTATTATTATTATTATTATTATTATTATTTATACCCCGCCCATCTGGCTGAGTTTCGTCAGCCACCCTGGGTGGCTCCCAGTCAAGTGTTAAAAACAATATAGCATTAAATATTAAAAACTTCCCTAAACAGGGCTGCCTGCAGATGTCTTTTAAAGATAAGATAGCTGCTTATTTCCTTGACATCTGATAGGAGGGCGTTCCACAGGGCAGGTGCCACTACCAAGAAGGCCCTCTGCCTGATTCCCTGTAACCTCACTTCTCCCAGCAAGGGAACCACCAGAAGGCCCTCGGTGCTGGACCTCAATGTCTGGGCTGAACAATGGGGGTGGAGACGCTCCTTCAGGTATACAGGACCGAGGCCTTAAGGGTGTTGGAGAGTAATGAGTAAAGGCTAAAAGCAACATACAAAAATCACAAACATACCCTTCACCTCCCAAAAACCTCCAAGCCAGGATGCCTTCAGTAGATATAGGAAACGTGTCGCAGGGTGGGACAATGTAAGAAAAGGAAGATTGCTCAGGGTAGAAAGCTGTGTAAAATAAGGAGTAGTTAGCCCTTATCTGTGTGTCCCCAAAATAAAAAACCCTCTCAGTTTAAATCGGATTGGCTATCTCTCATTACACCCCTAAATAATCTTCCCATTTAAAAAAATGGCCCTTTCCCCAAGTTTCTGTGTGTTCTTTCTTTTCTTTCTTTCTTTCTTTCTTTCTTTCTTTCTTTCTTTCTTTCTTTCTTTCTTTTTGCAACTCTGAGTTTTCCAGTTGTCCTTATCAAACTTAAACCATAAATTCTCCTTCAAGCTTGGAAGTAAAACCTTGAAATCATCTGGTTTCTAGCTAAGATTGTACCCTCATTCCTCAAACTAATTGCCCCAAACAAGATTTCTGTCTCTAAACAGGAATGAAAAACTTGGTTAAAATAAAAACAATCCAATTTAACAAACATAAAGTCACACACCTGGGCAATTCCAGACAACAGGGGAAGTCATCACTCACACAACTTTAGTTCATATCTTATATCCCCAAAGTTCATCCCATAGTTTATAATTGGGGTGTTTTTCCTTGAACAGCTGCTTCCTAGCTGAATAAAAGAGGAGAGAAATAGGTAACTCTCAAATTCAGAACAAAAAAATTGTAACATCAAAAGGTACCTAAAGATACAAATGGATCAAAGGAGTAAGATATTTCATTCCCAATTAAGCAACAATTCTGTGTTGCTCCAGAACAGGCTTGAGTGGGTCACAGTGATAAATCCACTCCTTTTTAATTAGAATAGGGAGTAACCAGAATCCACTTCTCCAAGGATTCCTTTGGTGCTGCTATCAGAAAACTGTCAACCAAAACTATATTCAAAGGAAGATATAGTGTCCATCTCTCTGTTAATGTCAAAGTTTGTATGGTGGGAAGAATGATCCATGTATTCAAGGATGTTTAGCCATCATTTATTTTGCTCCCTCCAGTCTTTGGACTTGGCACAATCTTCAAAGCTTTCTGAAACCCAACTTCGGTTCATACAGGAAGTGGATCTGCTCCTTCTTACAGCACTCCCAAAACCCAGAAAAATAAGTGTTTAAAAGTCCAGTAACTAAAACAAAGTAGTGGATACAAGAATGCATGCAGTAGAGTACAGTTTGAATAAGATACCTATAACTATGCGGGATGCCTGCTTGCAAAAATGTGCCCATTAGGAAAAAATTGCTTGCAAAGTTGTGTGTAATACACAAAATTCACACTAAAGTGCTTCTGTATTTTCATGGGACTTCCTATATGAAAAAACACAAGCTGATGTAGAATTGTGGAGAACTGAACTTAAGAGTGGAGAAATGAGAAGCTGGGTAACTCAGTTGGTTAGAGTATAGTGCTGATAACGCCAAGGTTGCAGATTCGATCCCCATATGGGACAGCTGCCTATTCTTGCATGGCAGGCATTTGACTAGATGATCCTCAGGGTTCCCTTCCAACACAGCAATTCTATGATTTAGCCATTACTAGGTGGCTTGATCCATGAAAAGCAGAGACATCACCTTGCCAACCAAGGTCCATATAGTTAAAGCTATGGTTTTCCCAGTAGTGATGTATGGAAGTGAGAGCTGGACCATAAAGAAGGCTGATCGCCGAAGAATTAATGCTTTTGAATTATGGTGCTGGAGGAGACTCTTGAGAGTCCCATGGACTGCAAGAAGATCAAACCTATCCATTCTGAAGAAAATCAGCCCTGAGTGCTCACAGGAAGAACAGATCCTGAAGCTGAGGCTCCAATACTTTGACCACCTCAGGAGAAGACTCCCTGGGAAAGACCCTGATGTTGGGAAAGATGGAGGGCACAAGGAGAAGGGGACGACATAGGACGAGATGGTTGGACAGTGTTCTCGAAGCTACCAGCATGAGTTTGACCAGACTGCAGGAGGCAGTGGAAGACAGGAGTGCCTGGCACGCTCTGGTCCATGGGGTCACGAAGAGTCGGACACGACTAAATGACTAAACAACAACAAGATGGCTTGAAGTCCTTTCTTAGTTACTGGAACATATTATGGCTTCCTTTCCACCATTGCCACTTATTTTGAGGAATTTTGCACCAGAGGCCAGACAGCGGCCAATACCGCAGGGCATTTAGGCCATTTCCATTGTCTAGCCAGATCTCTGCTTGCCTTGCTGAGTTCTAGGCAAAGCTATCTTTTTCTAACCGCCACAGATCATGCTTGTGTGTATCAGCAAGCAGAGCACCATCCATTACCAGCAATTTCAACATTGTATGCTCTGTCTGCCCCATTTTAATTACCGTTTGTGCAACAGTGAAACGCAAAAGCTTCAGAAAGTCTTGCCTCATAATTCTGATCCGAGACACTACTTCACTTTCACACATAATCCAGCCTTCTGAAATGTGCAGAGAGATCAAAACAGGCACTACTTCGACACCTGCCCAGAAACATCAACTTTCAGCCGTTTCGTCTTCTTCAAGAGCCACCCATAATTCAGACAACTGATGAGTCAAAGTCTGTCTTGGTCCAGTTCCAGCCCCTTTCACAAGCATTGCTGAGGGTAATTTGCTTCTCCTGCCTGTACTAGCAGAGGTCACCCTATGGTTCAGGCTAGGCTGCCATCTGAATATTCAAGACCAAATCGAAACAAACTCATCAACATTCACCAGGTTTCCCTCTCTAGCTCTGGGGTTATGCTTCAGGCACAGCATCAAAAGTGTTCCTTCTAGTGTTGTAACGCCAGCCTTTTGGCCACCAACCAGCCTTTGGGCACAAAGACCACTTACATTACCCTTCTGTCAAGGCCCACAGTATTGGAATATAAATTGTGTGCATCCTAGAATTTTAGGAATTTTCCATGGACAAAGCTGATACAGTGGTGCCTCGCAAGACGAAAAGAATCCGTTCCGCGAGTCTCTTCGTCTTGCGGATTTTTTCGTCTTGCGAAGCAAGCCCATTAGAGGTTTAGCGCTTAGCGCTACAGTATTAGCTGATAAGCGGCTTAGTATCAGCTGTTAAGTGGCTTAAAGATCAGCTGATAAGCGGCTTAGCATCGGCTTAAAGATCAGCTGATAAGCGGCTTAGCATCAGCTGTTAAGCGGCTTAAAGATCAGCTGATAAGCGGCTTAGCATCAGCTGTTAAGCGGCTTAAAGATCAGTTGATAAGCGGCTTAGCATCAGCTGTTAAGCGGCTTAAAGATCAGCTGATAAGCGGCTTAGCCATCAGCTGATAAGCGGTTTAGCAGCTTGGGAAAAAGGGGGGGGGGAAACCCTGCAGGAACTCGCAAGACATTTTCGTCTTGCGAAGCAAGCACATAGGAAATTCGTTTTGCGAAGCACCTCCAAAACGGAAAACCCTTTCGTCTAGCGGGTTTTCCGTCTTGCGAGGCATTCGTCTTGCGGGGCACCACTGTATTGACAATGACTTCCATCCAAAATGGCGTCACTATAAGGCACCACCTAGACAGCATCTCAAAAAGCAGAGACATCACTTTGCCAACAAAGGTCTGTATAGTTAAAGCTATGGTTTTCCCAGTAGTGATGTATGGAAGTGAGAGCTGGACCATAAAGAAGGCTGATTGCCGAAGAATTGATGCTTTTGAATTATGGTGCTGGAGGAGACTCTTGAGAGTCCCATGGACTGCAAGAAGATCAAACCTATCCATTCTGAAGGAAATCAGCCCTGAGTGCTCACTGGAAGGACAGATCCTGAAGTTGAGACTCCAATACTTTGGCCACCTCATGAAAAGAGAAGACTCCCTGGAAAAGACCCTGATGTTGGGAAAGATTGAGGGCACAAGGAGAAGGGGACGACAGAGGACGAGATGGTTGGATAGTGTTCTTGAAGCTACCAGCATGAGTTTAACCAAACTGCGGGAGGCAGTGGAAGATAGGAGTGCCTCGCGTGCTCTGGTCCATGGGGTCATGAAGAGTCGGACACGACTAAACGACACCTTTCAACACCACACTTGGCAGAATGTCTGTGCATGCAAGACGTTTCTGACAATTCCTTCATCCAAGTCGTTTATGAAGACATTGAACAACAACGGGCCCAGGACAGAACCCTGTGGCACCTCACTCTTCACTTTTTCCCAGGATAACAAGGAACCATTAATGAGCCCTAGTCCAACATTTCAACCAGTGCACCACACTGGCTCACTTTAGTTCTGTTTGCATGCAAATTCTTTCCAAAACCTTTTATTTTTCTTCTTTGGTCTTTTTTGTCTTTCTTTCATCATAGATGCAACAAGTACTAAGAATATATTCCATAGCCTCCTTATTCCCAACTGCAAGGGAAGCAGGAAATGGTAGAGACAAAATTGACTTTGCCACGAATTTCTGCCTTGTTTGAACATATCTAGAGCACTTAAATAATACAATTTCCATTGACATTCTCCTGAATTCAATTCCTAAATTCTTTAGGCACTTTCAAAATTTCCCCAGAGAATCTGGCTATGTGACAAAGTAATTTTGCCTCGAGCCTTTAATTTAAAGGATGAAAGCAAGTCAAATCACATCACAGTGGAAGTCAAACGCCTGACTGCTGGTTTTGTCCTTTCTTCCAAGTTAAGAGAAAAAGTTCAGTGAAAGAAAAATAGTGCCACAGCAGGAAACAGAGACAGCTTTATTGTTGTAATTTCATTTAGACACGGGGGTATATTTAAAAGGAATATCGAGATGTAAAGGCCTTATGTTAAGGGAGGCATTCAGAATGGGTGTGAGGTACATATATTCTAACTTCATTTATCAGAAATTTACTTCAAATATATAGAGTATTTCAAATCTCCCATTTTGGAGCATTAATATTGGTTTTAAAAAAGGTAAAGGTAAAGGGACCCCTGACCAGGTCCAGTCGCAGACGCGTGCGCTCATCTCACTCTATAGGCCAAGGGAGCCGGAGTTTGTCCGCAGACAGCTTCCAGGTCATGTGGCCAGCATGACTAAGACGCTTCTGGTGAACCAGAGCAGTTCATGGAAACGCCGTTTACCTTCCTGCCGGAGTGGTACCTATTTATCTACTTGCACTTGATGTGCTTTCAAATTGCTAGGTGGGCAGGAGCAGGGACCGAGCAAAGGGAGCTCACCCCGTCGCAGGGATTCCAACCGCCGACCTTCTGATCAGCAAGTCCTAGGCTCTGTGGTTTAACCCTGTATATATTGGTTTTAGGTGAGCTTTAAAAAATGGTCATGTAACAATTCTATGTCCCCTTTGAAAAAAAGTGAAGAAGTGATTTGAATTCTTTAGTATTCAGTGATTTTTATCTGGATGCCAAGTTCTGAAAGGTTTTTTTGGTTTGGTTTTTTTTTTTAGGGGGGCATTATATGACTTTATATTTTCTGAAGAATCCATGGGATTTGGGGATGGGAGCATCCTGTTCTTAATGCAGGAGTATGTTCAACATTCATTCACTGTAGTCATTCAACTAAGTGACTCACAGGTGTGAGCCATCACAAAATAATCAGCTCATACAGAACCACCATGTCATTTCATAGAATCATAGAACTGTAGAGTTGGAAGGGACTGTGAGGGTCATCTAGTCCACTGTTTCCCAACCTTGTTGTTTTTGGACTACAACTCCCATCAACCCTAGCTAGCAAGAGCAGTGGTCAGGGATGATGGGAATTGTAGTTAAAAAACAGCTGAAGACCCAAGGATGGGAAACACTGATCTAGTCCAACCCCCCCGAAATGCAGGAATCTTTTTTGCCCAATGTGAAACTTGAATCCATGACCCTGAGATTAAGAGTCTCATGCTCTACTAACATATCTCAGTCATATGGTGCCAATTAAAATTAAATACTTTTTTTCAGTAAAGGTTCTTTCCCCCCCCTCAATAAGGGATTCGGCATGGCGCTATGGGATAAACCACTGAGCCTCTTGGGCTTGCCGATCAGAAGGTCAGTTGTTAGAATCTGCATGATGGGTTGAGCTCCTGTCGGTCTGTCCCAGCTTCTGCCAACCTAGCAGTTCAAAAGCACACCAGTGCGAGTAGATAAATAGGTACCACTGCAGCAGGAAGGTAAACAGCGTTTCTGAGTGCTCTGGCACTCATCATGGTGTCCCGTTGCCCCAGAAGCTGGCCACATGACCCGGAAAGCTGTCTGTGGACAAACGCCGGCTCCCTCAGCCTGAAAAGCTTACCTACAGAAACAACAAAAAGAGATGGACTCATTGGCAGGTTTTGAATAAACATTCCCAATCTTATTTAAGTAAAATATGAAGAAAGACAATGCAATAACATCTAAAATATATTAATATGCAGAAGATAACGAATAACGTAACAAACCAGAAGGGGAAGATAAGGGAAGTCAACGGGGAGGGTGGGGATTGTAAAATGTAAAATTGGATAATTGTATTTGCAATTTGTTATAACGAAAGAAATTTAATAAAATATTTATAAAATAAAATAAAAAGCGAGATGAGCGCTGCACCCCATAATTGCCTTTGACTGGACTTAACTGTCCAGGGTTCCTTTACCTTTTACCTTCTTGAGATGAAATATTACAAAACAAATCAAAGTTTTCATTTCATACTTGTGTACAACAAACCAATTCCAATTATCATCATGTCTCTTTATCTTGTTTATTCCTTTCCTTCATTCCTGATCCAACACATCCTCTCATAAGATGTGTTGATGTCAACATAAGCATAACATCTTCTATATCCTGCTCTGTCTGATCCCCCTATTTACAGGGCATATCCAAGTTATTGTGGCTGCCATTAAATCAATGATAATTAATTGGGGATATCCAGTGGGGTTTTTTTTTGGGGGGGGGTACTCTCATTTTCCTCCTCATATTGAAATAATGCCCCTCAATGAGGCCAAACTTAAAAATGTTCAGGGTATGCATCCCACTGCATCCCCCCAGAAAAAAGCACTGACGATATCTGTGACTTCCTTCTATGGAGCCTAAAATAAAATAATAATAATAATAATAATAATAATAATAATAATAATTTATTATTTCTACCCCACCCATCTGGCTGGGTTTCCCCAGCCACTCTGGGAGGCTTCCAACCAAAAGTTAAAAATACATTAAAATATCAGTCATTAAAAATTTCCCTAAACAGGGCAGCCTTCAGATGATAGTCAGATTTGGTGGGATAATAACTGTAGGTATATTATGCCTCATTACTGATGAAACCTCCTTGCAGAATACCTTAATTTTACCTGGCTCAAACAGAATTTTCTGTGGGCCCAGTTACACATCAATGAGTGGGTGAGTTCGCACATGTGACTGCTTATATGCCTACTGTGACTGGGGAAATTCCTGGAGAAATTCTAAAACTGGGAACTCATCAGTCAGAGAAAAGTGCTGCAAAACTTCGGCAGAGCTACACTGATCAACCCCTGCTCACAGAAACCAGGATGGTGCCACAATGCCCAAAGCTGGGAGTCTGAGTGAATCCCCAAATGTTGGAGTCTTGATGAATCCCCAAAGCCATGAATCTGAATGAATGCCCAGATCCTTAGGCTACCTCAGGACCTCTTTTAACTGCTGAATATTTTGCAGAATTGGTTTCCATCCTTTCCCCCTCTCTTTACAAACTAAGCCTCCCATGTGCTTGTATCTCCTGCAGCTTCCTGATCAGACCTCTTGACTCCCATGTAGCCACTTTACCCAGCCTTGCTTCTCCACTGCTGGAGAACATTCCCCAGGGCCCTCTAGTGTTCCTATTTTCCAGGGACAGTCCTAGATTTACAGAAGCTGTCCCGGTTTCTGATTTGATCCTGGAAAGTCCTGCTTTTCCTTTGTTGTTGTTTAGTCGTTTAGTCATGTCCGACTCTTCGTGACCACAGCACGCCAGGCACTCCTGTCTTCCACTGCCTCCCGCAGTTTGGTCAAACTCATGCTGGTAGCTTCAAGAACACTGTTCAACCATCTCGTCCTCTGTTGTCCCCTTTTCCTTGTCCCCTCCATCTTTCCTAACATCAGGGTCTTTTCCAGGGAGACTTCTCTTCTCATGAAGTGGCCAAAGTATTGGAGCCTCAGCTTCAGGATCTGTCCTTCCAGTGAGCACTCAGGGCTGATTTCCTTAGGAATGGATAGGTTTGATCTTCTTGCAGTCCATAGGACTCTCAAGAGTCTCCTCCAGCACCCTAATTCAAAAGCATCAATTCTTCAGCAATCAGCCTTCTTTATGGTCCAGCTCTCACTTCCATGCTTTTCCTTAGGAGGTCCTTATTTTCACTGCAGAAATGTTGAAGAGCATGAAGGTTGGAGTGAGTATACAACTGTTAGAAGACATCTGAAAGTTTAATGTTTTATTATGTTTTTATATATGTTGGAAGCAGCTCAGTGTGGCTGTGGCAACCCAGTCAGATGGGCAGGGTATAACTAATAAAATTATTATTATTATGGAATAAAGGTAAAGGTAAAGGGACCCCTGACCATTAGGTCCATTCATGGCCGACTCTGGGGTTGCGGTGCTCATCTCGCTTTATTGGCCGAGGGAGCCAGCGTACAGCTTCCGGGTCTTGTGGCCAGCATGACTAAGCCACTTCTGGAGAACCAGAGCAGCGCACGGAATCGCAGTTTACCTTCCCGCCGGAGCAGTACCTATTTATCTACTTGCACTGGTATGCTTTTGAACTGCTAGGTTGGCAGGAGCAGGGACCAAGCAATGGGAGCTCAACCTGTCGCGGGGATTCGAACCGCCGACCTTCTGATTGGCAAGTCCTAGGCTCTGTAGTTTAACCCACAGCGCCACCCGCGTCCCTAGGATGGCCCTATTTGGATGTGCCCTATCAGCACTTGCCAATGTGGGACAGCACTGGTTACTTGTCAAATCTCCAGGATTAGCCTCAGGAGATTCCTGGAGATGGAGGTTGATTCCTGGAGGTTCCTGGCCATACCTGGGGGGGGGGGGGGGCTGGCAACTCATTGAGACCACCAAATAAAATCAATTACATTCAAATGCAATAAATGAGATGATATACCTGAACAGTCTACAAACGGTTATTACACAATAAGAGGTACATTACCAAGTAAAACATCCAAAAGGGTACACAGTATACAAATGGTTCAGCTTACACTAATCAGTGTAATTGGCTGACAGTGTTAGCTATTATTATCAGCTGAGGAAGAACATTTGAAACAGTTGGTTATCCTGGAAGGACTGTCCTGCTGCTGCTGTTTTTGGAGCACCAACATCCTTCAACTTATTCCCTGCAAAACACTGCATGAGTTGTGCTTTGTCTGATTTTACACTTACCTTGGAAGGCATGTTGCCTCAAGCTTGAGTGAATCTTTGTGATGTTATACTTGCCAAAAAAATCCCTTACTTTGGGACATTTTCTTAACTCATATTAGGTGGTGTCACCATGTATATATTGTACACGGATTGTAAATGAAGATACAATTCAGTAGTGATATAAAAGTGTTGTCATCATATTATTAGACCACCGTGTTGCTTTTGGATTGTCAGATTAACATATAATGTTGACACTGGAAGAAAACATGAAATGAACTATAAACCATTAAATAAATCTCAGCTGCTTTCATATATATTTTTCTTTCTTACCAGAAGATGAGGTTATGTCCTTAAATCAACATTTTCTCTTGGTTTTAGTTCATTTTGTACCTGCAGTGTGTCCATGTTTTGATACAGGTTTTGCAACTTAAACAGCTGAGTGGCAGGTAGGTATTCCACAGGGCAGTGTTTCTAGAGATGCAGCAAGGTGGAAAGCTACACCTGTGGGACAGCTACTAAAATGGAGCCATTTCAGATAGAACACTTCTGTTGCGGCATGGAGAGGGTGACCGCCGAGACGCCTGGTGTCATAAACAAGATTTCATCTCCATTTTGCTTTGTTGCACACATTCTGTTTTTGTGCTCATTTTCTATGTGTTAGACAATGGTTTCTATAAATATAGACTTGAGGATGCAATTATAAGTAATGAGATATCATGGCTTTGAGTTTTATGTGCTGTGGTAAGGGTAGGTGGGAACTTGCTGGAAGTCTGTAATTCCCCTGCCCTTTTGCTCGGTATTGATTGGTTAGCCGGCCATTTCAATAAGGCTTATATTCTAGAGAGAGAAGTTTACAAATCATTCCTGTGAAAGCTTTATCTTCTGAAGATTTCTCGAGTTGCCTCAAGACAAGAAGGGTTGGGGGATTTTCAAGACAGCGTGAAGGTAAACATTTCTTTCCATCTTCTGTAATAGATATGCTTGGAGGAAGGGGACTGTATTCCATCACAGACAAGACTTCTGTCTGAGAAAGAAAGCAGTCACGACAGCACACACTTTTCCCTGAATTTTTGGTTCTGCCTCAGGCTAGTGGTGTGTGTGTGTGTGTGTGAAGAACCCTGTGGAAAAAAGTGACAAAGCTTACATTACGAGAGCTCAAGGCAAGTGTGCTAGGCCATTTCCAGAGAGTCACTATTTTGTGGGTAGGATTTAATTGCACACTGACAACTTTAGTTTGGGCAATTAAAGTGGATTTGGTGCTCTTGCAGAACAAACCCACTCCCCTTTCAAAAAAATTAACAATGGGCCTTTTGTGATGAAGGAAGTGGTCAGGGGAAGCACTGGGGAAAAGTAGGATAATAATTGTGTGAAGTAGGTCCTATAGCCTCCTCAGAAACAAATCAGAGTGAATGTTCAGAAAGTAGCGGGTTATCATATCAACGCCCTGCAAACTTTGTGCAAGTTAATTACGACTCACTAAACACAGACCCACCGAGTGTCCCTATTTTCCAGGGACAGTCCCAGATTTACAAAAGCCCTCCTGGTTTCTGATTTGATCCTGGAATGTCATTAGGATGTCCCTATTTTCATCAGGGAAGGGTTGGGGGGCATGGAGTTACGTGACTCCCAAGCCAAGGAGATAAGTAACTATAAAACCTTTAGAAGCCATCTGAAGGCAGCCCAGTATAGGGAAGTGTTTTTTTTAAAATGTTTAATGTTTTGTTATGTTTTTATATATGTTGGAAGCCACCTAGAGTGGCTGGGGCAACCCAGTTAGATGGGCAGGAAATAAATAATAAATTTGTTGTTGTTCTTGAATAGGATGTCCCTATTTTTATCAGATAAATGTTGAAGGCGATGTAAACAGTCTTCAGGAAACAACCTTAGTCTTTAAGGTGCCAAATAACTTACTTTGGTTTTGATTTTTGCTGCAATGGGTTGTCATAACTTCTTCCCTAAAATTTATCGTTAAGAAACCCTTTCACCTTCCCTCAGCTGCCACGAGGCAGAATGTAATGGCCGCCACAGGCAGCTGATTTGGGGCTTGTTATTGCTGTATTTTTATTCCCAGGGAGAGGCACTTTTCTACCTCAGGTGCTAAAGTAACTTGACTGGCTCTGTGTACAAAATACATTTTGTGGTGTGTGTGTGTAAGTGTTTGTTTGTTGGCTGGGAAGGGCACATAACATTTGCTGCTTTGCTTCAGGCAGCAAAATATATTGGGCCACCCCAATACCCCAAGCAAGAATTTCCACATTTGTCTTCCGTTCCTCTATAAGTGAATTACAGGACAAGTGTATTTAATCTAGAAGCCCTGCCACTTGTGGAATATGGCCCCGCTGTGCTGGAGAGCTTGCTTGGGATCAATTCATTAGCATTGCTTTTTATATCTCTGTGCACTCTCAGCCTAAAATTACTTTTTGCAGTGTTAGGCTATAAACATATGACACAAGCTATTCTTTAGGGAAGAAAAATGTTTGGCACAGGGTGTATATTATGTAGGCCTGATTGTGATTGTTATGAAAACCCTCATTATCTTGTAGACTAAAGTTTCAGACAGTTTCAGCATTATTCTTATTGGAGATTAGTGTATGCTCAAAACATATATAAGCAGCAGAGCCACCAGGAACCAGAGAGGGGTTTACTCATGAGTACAATGGTACTTCTATTTGCGTTCACCTCCAGTTATGTATCCTTCGGGATACGTACACGGCAAACCTGGAAGTATTTTTCCAGGTTTCGCCCCGCGCTCATGCGCAGAAGTGCTCTATGTGCCACGTGCATGTACAGAAGCGACACCTCCAGTTGTGGAAACCTCAGGATCTGACCGGAGCTCTGGAATGGATCCCGTCCGCAACTGGAGGTACTTGCAAAGTCCATTTTTAAAAGGAACAAGTTTAGTTCAAGTTCCTCTTATCCAAAAATGAACTTGTCTGAGTTCAAGTTTGCACTTTTACAAAGCAAACAAATTCACTCCCAGTTCATCCAAGCTCATCAGTTCATAAAAAGTTTATCCTCACCTGCTTCTATGCTGAAGTGTAGGGTCTGAAATCAAATCAGTAAATGCACACAAGTAATAAGCTCTTTTGACAGGCAGAATAGGTAAAGGTAAAGGTAAAGGGACCCCTGACCATTAGGTCCAGTCGTGACCAACTCTGGGATTGCGGCGCTCATCTCACTTTATTGGCCGAGGGAGCCGGCATACAGCTTCTGGGTCATGTGGCCAGCATGACTAAGCAGCTTTCTGGCGAAACAGAGCAGCGCACGGAAACGCCATTTACCTTCCCACCGGAGCAGTACCTATGTATCTACTTGCACTTTGACGTGCTTTCGAACTGCTAGGTTGGCAGAAGCAGGGACTGAGCAATGGGAGCTCACCCCGTCACGGGGATTCGAACTGCCGACCTTCTGATCGGCAAGTCCTAGGCTCTGTGGTTTAACCCACAGCGCCACAGGCAGAATATTAACAGGTAATGATTCCCCCATAGCTGCATTACAGTACCAGGAAAGAATTGCCTGCCACACAACTGGCACAAGGCATTGTTCATTTAGTTCCTGTACCTCTCCTTTTCTCCATAAGCTACTCCTGTTGGAAGAGCAGGACTCCGTTCAACAGGGAAGATTCAAAAATGCCTCGCATTCCTCCTTCTGACTGCTTGGCAACAGTGTTAAGTGACGAAGCATCCTTAGACATGCAGAGCCTCATGGGAAGGGCTCCCTCTACCATTAGGTTGAGTGTGATGTCATGATTTGGGGTATAGTGAAAAAGCAGCAATTAAATCCATTTAATTAGTGATTAAAATAAATTATTTGATTTATTGGCATTGTATTAACATTGTATTGTAATGTTGTATAATAATTGTTTTTTTCCCATCCTCCTAGGGATGTGGGGTTTTTGTTTCAGTTGATAAAAGAACTTCACCAGCCATGGGTATTAAGTACCTCAAGCATGGAAGGCAAACCACATTTGTCAAAGGGGTCTTTGCACTGACTATGCCACTATTTCACTGTTTACTATATTTCATTTCCAGGACCTCATCATCCTCTGAAATTCTTCCCAGGTCCTTTTTTTACTCAAGACATAACATCAAAGATATGAAAAAATGGATCCTTATCTCAGTCCTATTAGGAATCTGCTCTGCAATGCCGGTAACTAATACAATTTTACCTCAAACTGTTGTCCGTCAAATTAAGGAGAACCTGTTTCATGTTTTGTTTTGTTACTAGTAGTATAGATTGTTATTTTGGAGACTTGACATGCACAATGCTTTCCAGAGTAGATGATCCTCTGGTTTTTTCTCATGTTGGAGGGAAATATAACATCATAAATATCAAGATGGCTTCCAAGGCATTTTACAAATGGTTTGAATTTTATATGACAAAGGCCCAGTGTTGCTACAACCCTGCTGAGACTGGGAGCAGATTATGGGCTTGATGGCTTGCTCCTCACACAACCTCTTTCCCTATCCAGATAAATTTTCCCCCTTCCTTTCTTCTCCCAACATTAACTTTAATTTTGCTTCAGATGAGCAGCAGCAGAAGCCATGGGCAATGCAAGCCAGGGCTGAAAACTATTGTTTGCAAGTATTACAACATTAAACAGACATGGCTTCCTCCAAAAACTCACGAGAAATGTAGTTTGTTAAGGGTACTAAGAGTTCTTCGGAGACCCCTATTCCCCTCACAGAGCTACAATTTCCATAGTTCTCTGGGGAAATGGATTGACTGTTAAACCACTCTGGGAACTGTAAGTTCAAATGGGAAATAGGTATCTCCTAAAAACTCTCAGCATCTTTAACAAGCTACAATTTGCAGAATTCTTCGAGGGGGAGCCATTATTGTTTAAAGTGGTATGATGATGCTTTAAATGTGCAGTGCAGGTACAGCCTAGGTGATGAGGAGTCCCATTACTTTAATCAGGACTATGTCATGCCTAACCCAGCTTGGATCGGGTCCATTCATTTTTGTGTCATTTTGTGTGGTTGCACAAAGGTGAATCTGTGGCCATTTTTAGACACCTAAGCCTCAGTACAATATAAATTCCATGCAAAAGAGCAAGTCAGCAATGGAAAACCTGCTTCTCCCCTTTCTGAATACAAGTGATTAGCACCTTCCCAAATGCAAGTGTTGCAAAAGGTAGGGGGAGATTCAAGAGATATTTTGTTTGTCCGCAGATGCTTCTTCAACATGCCAGGATAACTGGAAGGGGTGGTATATTTTACCCCCCACCTGCACTTGCAAGTACAGTGGTACCTCGGGTTACATAGGCTTAAGGTTACATATGCTTCAGGTTGCAGACTCCACTAACCCAGAAATATTACCACGGGTTAAGAAGGATGAGAACAGAAATCTCACAACGGTGGTGAGACAGCCGCGGGAGGCTCCATTAGCTAAAGTGGTGCTTCAGGTTAAGAACAGTTTCAGGTTAAGAATGGACCTCTGGAATGAATTAAGTACGTAACCAGAGGTACCACTGTATCTCTAAAATATCCGGAAGTCATTATGATAACCTTCAAGGAGAGCCGGTCCAATTAGCATCTTAAAATAAGCTTTTCTGAATGATGGTGTTTGCTGTTTTAAATCATTAATGCAGTAATGAATAATTAGCCAGGGCTGCAGTGCTACAGCTGGTGAAAGGCTAGCTGAATTGTCTTAGGAAACTGTAAATGCCATCCTCTAGCAGAGAGGGAGATCTACAGACAGGCCTTGGCACAGAGAGCCCTGCAAGTGCAGATGTTCCACCAGTAGTGGGGGTGGGCAAATCAAGGCATTTGGGGGCACGTCAGGGCAGCCATGGATCATGGGGCCAACACTCCCTCATGCCCCTGGCACACCTACAGAATGATCCAGAACCAAAGGCAGCTTTTGCGTAGCGCAACCAGAGGTGCCACCATTGTTTTGGCTCTCTCCAGTATATTTTCTGTGATGCTTAAAGGTAAAGGTAAAGGGACCCCTGACCATTAGGTCCAGTCATGACCAACTCTGGGGTTGTGGAACTCATCTCGCTTTATTGGCCGAGGGAGCCGGCGTACAGCTTCCGGGTCATGTGGCCAGCATGACTAAGCCGCTTCTGGCGAACCAGAGCAGCACATGGAAATGCCGTTTACCTTCCCACCGGAGCAATACCTATTTATCTACTTGCACTTGATGTGCTTTCAAATTGCTAGGTTGGCAGGAGCCAGGGACCGAGCAACGGGAGCTCACCCCTTCGTGGGGATTCGAACCGCCGACCTTCTGATTGACAAGTCCTAGGCTCTGTGGTTTAACCCACAGCACCACCCGCGTCTGTGATGCTTAGGAACAAATAAATTCTGTTGCATATGAGCTTTTATAACTAATTCACCACCCAAGACTGTACCTGTCATTATTTACTCTCTCTATCACCTGCAACAAACGATGGTTACAAGAGTTAATCTCAACATCACCTAAGAACTGGCATGCAGCAGTTGGGCTGCTGATATGCACAATCTGCTAGTGGAGGTTGGTGCACTAGGGCAAATGTGGCAGTGCCCCCAACAACCTTGGTCTGCCCCCTGCCCCTGCTTGCCTGCCTTCTTACAGACATCCAGTCCAGGGGGTGGCACTGGCTGTCAGCTTCTCTCTCTCTCCCCCTCCACCATCTCAGCATTGTCTTTGCAGATGTCAGCAGGGAAAATGATGGGGACCAAAGTAGAATTAGTTATCTCTGCCTGTCATATATTCCCTGACCATTTGATAGATGAGAAGGATGAATTTTATGTATACAGTGGTGCCTCAGAAGTCGAACAGAATCCGTTCGACTTCCAAAATGTTCAGAAACCAAGGCGTGGCTTCCAACTGGCTGCAGGGAGCCCCACAAGTCACGTCGGACATTCGGGTTCCAAAGAACGTTTGGAAACCGGAGCGCTCACTTCCGGGTTTGCAGCATTTGGGAGTCAAAATGTTTGACTCACAAGGCGTTCAGGAACCAAGGTATGAATGTACTCTGTGTTAAGAGTTAAATATGAATTACCTTTAAATGCTCGATGGCAATATCTTCAGAAAAAGCATTTGCTAACTACCATTTACGGACCAACAGCTTTTACAACTCCAGAGACCCCAGAGATATTAAAACAGCTGATTAATTCTTATGTAACAAGGAAAAAAAACCCTATTACCTTATAGAAATGTTTATTAGCAGCAAACCAGTTCAATGCACATATATTAAGGAAGGAGCGGAATAAAGAATTTGAAATCTTGATCTCGGCCAAGCAGTGGAAAACTGTGTTAAGCTCTGTAACAGGGTTTCCCATACTTGGATCTCCAGCTGTTTTTGGACTACAACTCCCATCATCCCTAGCTTGCAGGAGCAGAGGTCAGGGATGATGGGAATTGTAGCTCAAATCAGCTCTAGACCCAAGTTTGGGAAACCCTGTTCTATAACAAGGGTGGCTCTGGGCCTTAAACAAAGACTCGTACAACCTGCAAAGAAGAAAAATTGACAGATTTTCACCACCCCTTTCCTCTCCTGGACGCTAATGCTTCGGGCCATCCCATGAAACTGTCCAGTAGGAGATTCTGAACAGATAAAAGAAAAGTGCGTCTGTGCGCAATGCATAAGCAACACGTGGGAATCGCTGCCACAATGCCCATTAGCTTGGATGGCTTTCAAAGAGGAGCAGACCATTTTAATACAGGATTGGTCTACCAAGGGTTACTAGCTGTGATAGTAACCTCCACTTTCAGAGGCAATGTATTTCTGAATACCATTTTCTGGGCGCAAAAAGTTGAGAAGGGCTATGGTTTCATGCTGCGTTTGAGGGCTTCCCAAAAGAATCTGGCTGGCTGCATTTGGATACAGGATGTTGGCCTAGACTGGATGTGTGTGACCTGGATGTGATCCTGCAAGGTTTATGTTGATCTGACACAGGCATTCTACAATATCTTTTCAAAAATTGTATTGGTTTTTGCAATATCAACGACAAACAAAAACATAAAACAAACAAAACATAACAAACATAAATCATAACCTTATTGAAAATAACAGTTATTTACTTTGTAGAACGACTTCCTCGTTTTCCCTTAGTTGAATTTCATTGCATATCCTTATAACGGTTTTCCAAATCCCAATTTTAATACCCTTTAAATTAAACATTAACATCCTTAAATCTTCTCCTTCTTGTATTAAACATATTATTTTATCAGTTAACATAAATACAATCCTAAGCCCATTAAGTATCTGGACGCTATTTCCTGTTATTTTAGCTTAACAAATTTAGCTAAATAATCATTAAATTTCTTCCATTCTTCGTGGTGTTCCTCCTCCTTCTGGTCGCGGACTCTTCCGGTTAGATCAGCTAGCTCCATAAAATCCATCATCTTCATCTGCCATTCTTCTACTGTTGGTAATTCTTGAGTTTTCCACTTTTTAGCTAACAAAATAAGAGCCGCAGTTGTGGCATACAAAAATAGATTCACATCTTTCTTGGGCAATTCCGAACCTGTTATTCCGAGAAGAAAGGCCTCTGGTTTCTTTATAAATATATATTTCAACATTTTTTTCCAATTCATTATAAATCTTTTCCCAGAAGTCTTTCACCTTGTAGCAGGTCCACTACATATGAAAGAATGTTCCTTCCTTTTGTTTACATTTCCAACATGTATTATCACAATTATGATACATCTTTGCTAATTTTACAGGAGTCAAATACAATCTATACATCATTTTCATAATATTTTCCTTTACCAAAGTACATGCGGTGAACTTCACCCCTTTCTTCCACAATCTTTCCCAGTCCTCAAACATTATGTTATGTCCTAAATCTCTTGCCCAATCTATCATCACCGATTTAACTTGTTCATCTTTCGTATGCCACTCCAGCAAAAGCTTGTACATTTTAGATAAATTTTTACCTTCAGTATCTAACAACTCCATCTCCAACTTAGATTTTTCCAAGGCAAAACCATTTTTCTTATCCAGTTTATACAATTCGTTAATCTGGTGGTAATGTAGCCAATTTAGCTTATCTTTAATTTGCTCAAATGGTCTTAATTTATAACCTTCCTCTTCCTCTATTAATAAGTCATAATATCTCAACCATTTGGTATCCATATTTAATTTTTGCCTCCATTGGTGAAAGCCATCTGGGCGTCTTTCTTTCTAAAAGGTCTTTGTATTTTATCCAAACATTATACAACGATTTCCTAATTATATGATTTTTAAATTCTTTATGGGCTTTTACTTTATCATACCACAAATATGGGCATTCTACAATATCAGGGAGTTCTTCCACAATAAGAAGGCTCTCTGCACGTGCTTAGAAGTGTTATTACTTGTGTTCGAGGCACTATCTCTGGCATCAAAAGATAAGGACCTTGAGTTAAATACCAATTCTGAGCATCAGAAATGGGCCTGGGGGGAGGGGGGCAATAAGAAGGAGAATAATATTGCGAAGATAAAATGGTTGGTATTAATGTTGTGGGTTTTTCATTTCTTTTCAGCTGATGAGACAATTGGCGGGACCAAACGGGGCAGGTGTACTCCAGCAGGTAACTGCAGCTAATTACAGATACCCTCTTTGAAAAATTATCTTTCTAAGTGAATGTAACTGCAATAGAAAATACATGATGCAATTCTAGAATATTTTCCTATATGACAAACTACCCCAAAAATCTATTGTTCCTTTGGCAATAGAAATCCAATTGTAATATCCTGCTTGCTCAGCAGATGTCTGCTTACATCTCCAAAAAGTTAACCGGAGGGTTGGGGGGTACCTCTAGAGTAGATTTGCGGGGGCCCAAATCTTCATGAGGGAAGGAGATGAAGGAGAATTCCCATCCTATCTGCTGGCATGATGTTGGATCTTGTCTTAATATTCAACAACTGATGATTTCCTTCTATTGGTCCACGATAGAAAGTGTTCTCTCATACCGTATTACGGTGTGGTACGCTGGTTTGACAGCCATGGACAGAAAGTCCCTACAGAGGGTGGTGAAGACAGCACACAATATCATGGGCTGTCCCCTGAGTCCATTAGATGTCATCGTAGGAGACCTATGCCTCAGAAGAGCAAGGAACATTCTCAGGGATGACTCACACCCTGGCCAGCACCTTTTTAATCTCCTGCCCTCAGGCAGGAGATATAGAAGCATGATAAGCGCAGCAACAGGTTAAAGAACAGTTTCTACCAGTGGGCTGTGAGGCTGCTGAATGGAAGACAGCAACATTGCAGCTTATGTCCGGGGTTGGTGGTCGTACAACAGCACACAGAGTATAACAAGGACTGAGAGATTGTGGGAGGGAGGGGGGCTCATTTAATCTCACTGTAAACAAGTGGTACAGTGACAATAAAGTATTTTTATATTTCTATAACAATCACATTGTGTTCAACATGCGCACAGCCTGTGTACCCAGATAGTTGCGCCGTACACTTTGTTCAACAAGTGTACAGTCTATGTATCTCTGTACAAAATAGCTGTACAGATGAATGAATTGCACTGCTTCACACAAACACTTGTGCATATGTAGAGACAACTTGGGCCTGTAGGCTGTGCAATGTGTGATCAATCCTCAAGCAGTTTGAAAGTCAATTAAAAGAGACAAAGGAAAGGTACATTCTGGCTCAAGTTGGCCATGACCAAGGCTGCAATCCAATCTGCAATTATTTTATGTTCAGTGTGACATATAGCTTAGTAAATGTAGAAAGGATTTGTCTGTTCTACATTGAGAGGAATGGAATCTACTGCGTTATCCTTTACATGTCTTCTCAGAAGTGAATCCCGCTGAATTCATATAGGACTGCAGTCTTAGCCTGGGCTATCTTTGTTCCATTGGTTTCTTGGATATGCAGCCTATTTTAATGCATGTTTACTCAAGACTAAGTATGCTTACTAGAGAATAAGTACTTACTTCCAAGCAAACTTGCCTAGGATTGCAGCTATGTATGGTCAAACTAACTTTATCTAGAGGATTATGGATAAAAAGTGCAGAGCTTTTTATTTCAGAAGGCATTTGGAGGTCTTAGAGTTTAATGCTGTACTTTTGAAAAATCCTGTTGTGCTCTTGTAAGAAAGACTTTATGTTTTATTCATTGATATGGGTTTATGTTGTCTATATTTCTTTACTAATTTGTAAACCAGCTTGAGGGTACCTTGGGTACCCAAAGGTGGAATAATTGTAAATACGGTACTTCCCTTGTTCCACCTTCCTCTTCTGCCTCTATCCCTCTATAATGAAATATATGGCTGTATTATCGAGCAGAAAAGAACTGGGTATGTCAACATAACAGAAATCAATAAGAAAACCCATTTCCAACTATTTATGATGCCACATTCTAATGCGAGTTTTTAAGAATGCTAAAATGTGAATTGCAGCTGCAGAATATCTGCATTGATTTGTGCCATTTCTTTAGTATGCTCAGGCTTATAGCTATGCAGATCCGTTTAATACAATGTGGATACACAACTTTCTTCCGCCACATTCATCTTACTATTGGTTAAGGCGAAGACCTCAGCAACATGAAACTCAACAGGTAAGCTGCTTGTGCTACAATAATTTTGGGAACTGTACTCAGTATAATGAGGATTAAAAATAAGGTGCTTCCAGGGCATTAGAATTCTGCGGGAGAGATTCAATCACTTACTGGGACTTTAGGTTTGCCCAATTAAAGTGGACTAAAGCCTGAGTGCAACAAATCCTTAAAAAAAACAACAAAAGGCCAAAAACCCCTTCAGCTTTTTGTGGTTTGGAAAGCAATGGGGAAATGCATTGAAAAGTGTGAGGAGAATGAAATATTACCAGGAAGATGTGCAAAACAGCCTGCAAGCGAATCAGGATGGATGGAGGATAAATGTTCATTGTCAAATAACATATCGGAATGAATACTCAAGTCATAGTCTATTTTGGGCAAAAAGATCAGGATGAATGCTGAATAAACAAGGCATCTGGATGTGATGCAATCACTTTCATGTCTCTTAAATGATGACAGCCAAACTATTCCCCAAGATATTTGCTAGGAAGAATGGCAATTTTCTGTTTGCTGTCAGGGCACAGTTTAGAGGGAGAAAGCCCTCTTGGAACACATAAGGAATGATTAAGGATTGTGCTATATAGGCATTTAAAGAGATCATCTTTATTTCAGTACAACTCAGTCATTAGCATCTTTTGCTAATTATTTGGCATCTTGAATACTAATGAAAGAACGTGAGATTTTGCAGGCAAGAGCCTAATACATTAGATACTTTTTAAAAAGGCATGCACTGCCTTTGGTATCATGGACATAACTTCTTAATGACTGTACCCTTTTCCTTCTGGCTGTTTGTCCTCCCACGCTCCTCTCTACAGTATGAAATCAGCATGCCTGTACACCCTCCTCCACTACCATCTCAGCAGACACCCATTCTGCTTCAGCAGCCTGAAGTGCAAGAGCAACCTCTCTTCCAGCTCGTAAATTTCATTCCTACAAGGCAAGTCCAACTCCAGCAGTACGATATGCAGCCACCATTCCAGCAGAAGCCATTTCTGCTGCCGGAGGGAAACCAGCCAGTTGTCCAACAGCAGCCATCAGAGAGACAAACTCAGCAGGTCAGTTTTATAAACAGGTGACATCTAAGTCCCAAAACCACCAGTACAGGTTTCAGGGACTCCAGTGCTTGAATCCTGAGCTCCACGCCCCCCCCCCCCAGATGATAGGTTCATTTTCCTACCAAAGGCCAGTTTCTGAATTTTTGGAAGATTTTTCTTCCATAGAATTTCAAATTTCCATCCAATCCTGGTCAGCTGAAACAGTGCTGTAAAAGCATCCAGCCTCAACTGCAAGTTAGGATTAAGGCCTGTCTTTGCTTTCGTTATTCACTTTGCGTCTCCTAGTCTTATGTCTCTAAATGTTTTCTTGATAGATACAGTTACCCACTATACAAGAATACTCAGGGACATTAGGTCAGGCAGTCAGTATAGAATTTTATTTCATATCGCCTTGAAAAATTAGCATTGAATTCTATGCACAAATAGGCAGCACCCATAGTTCTTTGATACTTTTCTTGGGTACGTATTATAGTACCTATTCTATATATATATTAGTTTTAGCCTTGCATTTCACTTCACTGGATGTTTCTATGCTCCTTTCTCTTGCAAAGCTCTACCCAGGTTTACTTGGAACCCCACAAGATTTAGCCCAACAACCACAGCATAGATCTGTATGTTGATTCTCAAAACAGTCATGCTGCCAGCACACTGATTCACATATCTGAACTCTCTTAACATGCAACCCCAGTGGTGCACTTAGGTGCTTTCAGGCTCAGAACTTTGTGGTATTACAAGTGGTACCTCAGGTTAAGAACTTAAGTCATTCTGGAGGTCCATTCTTAACCTGAAACTGTTCCTAACCTGAGGTACCACTTTAGCTAATGGGGCCTCCCGCTGCCGCTGTGCCACCACTGAAGCAAAGTTCTTAACCCGAGGTACTATTTCTGGGTTAGCGGAGTCTGTAACCTGAAGTGTCTGTAACCCGAGGTACCACTGTACAGGGGAGGTGTGAGGCTCTTTAGACAGTAATACATATTACTTAGATCACTCCAAAATGTGGTCAGTCAGTTTTTCTGCTAGGGGTGGAAGGAACTGTCAATTTCAATTCTCTCAGTTTCTTGTTTTTCTTAAATTTAGTTCTTCACATTTCTGCAATTCTTAAAAAAAACCCTCAGCATTTTAATTTGAATTTCTCATAATAAACACATCTTCCCATGCAATTTTGTCTCAAGTACACATTTTTTAAAAGCAATTACGGTACCTATAATATAAGGCATCTTAATGATATTTTCATTGACAGATTAGCTTTTACACACACTGTCCCCTAATATATTAATTTTTGTAAATGTTGGAGAACTGCATTGCAAAATTTGGATAAGTGTCAATTTTGAAAGATCCATGTGTTTCAGTTCTTACATTGCGAATCTGATGCAGTCACCTTTAAACTGAACCAGACTTCTCACCCATCCATATTTGTGGGTTGGTGGGGGGAAGGGCTCCTGCTCATTCTCCTGCATTTGGCCCTGGACTTATGACCCAAAGTCCTACCTTGCGTGCATCAAGTAAGTATCTTGCACAGGTTTAAAAATGAGCTTGTGTCAAAGTGACTTTTCTGAGAAGTTAAGCTATGCAAGAACTCTGTTTATATGGGTGCTTTCTGTACTATCCATCATGAAGCAAAGCAGTGCATGGTAACACAGAGATCTAAAGCAAAGGCAGCCATCAAGTGTCTTCCTTTCAGCCTCGCTACCGCACATGCACACCCCACACTGACCTCACAGACAAGTCTGGGCAGGGCAGTAAAGGACTAGGCCAGGCATTTCCAAACTCAGCCCTCCAGATGTTTTGGGACTACAACTCCCATTATCCCTAGCTAACAGGACCAGTGGTCAGGCATGATGGGAATTGTTGTCCCAAAACATCTGGAGGGCCTAGTTTGGGAATGCCTGGACTAGGCAATACAGGGGGTGGGAATCCCACTTTATCATTCTTACAAGTAGGATTTATTGACCTGTCTGGAGAAAAGCCATCAGTACAGTGAATCACATAAAATTATTGCAGTACCTCAATCTCACCCAGAAGAGGTGTTGGACTCTTCTTCCTTGGAGGTTTTAAAGCAGAGGTTGCATGGCCATCTGTAATGTATGATCTAGTTAAGATCTAGTTAAGAATCCTGCATTGCAGAGCTTTGGACTAAATGACCCTTGGGATCCTTTCCAACCCTACATTTCTATGATTCTACACTTGCTGTGAAGAGGTGATGACTTAAGTCCACAGTGTAGGTGCTAACTATAAGAGCAAGAATTGGGAACCTGTGGCTCTTCAGATGTAGTTGGTTTACAACTCCCATCATCCCTGACTATTGGCCATGTTGGCTAGACTGGTGGGATTTGGAGTCCAGCAGCACCTGGAAACTCAAAGGTTCTCCATCCATGTCTTAGGGCATTTTGGTAAGACTACCATTGAGAACAAGATGCTGACGGGCCTCTAAGCTCTTCACTGTTTTGCATGAAACAACAAAGAGTACTGTTCCTGAAAGCAAAACTACTGCTAATTGGTTTTCTCCTTTGTCTAGATGCCACCCAGTTTGCATTACATGTCTTACATAGCCAACCAAGGAGTAAGTATGTTGCATTCATTTACAGGCAATGAAATCCTTATCATTATCATGTCAGGGAGACAACCAAAACATTAAAGGAATATCTGGGGTGCAGTACATCTCTGTGTGCTGTGCGCACAGTATGAGAATGCTGGCGACACCAATATTGTTGTCACCCCAGTAGAAGCTGTGGCCAGCCAGCACCAGAACCAAAGGGCAAAGTGGATCTAAGTGCAGCACTTTTCCCTCACAGGAATGAATGGAGAAGGAACTCAGAGATGCCACCTGAATGAGGGCAGAGCTAGCCCTTCCGCTACGGCCAGTCCCAGCGCTCCCTTTCCTCCCCACCCAATGTTTTCCTTATCACAGTTTGATTATTTTGTCTCAAAAAGCTCAACAAGAGTATCTGAGAACTAACTTGCCACCCATCTACACATCTCAGCCCATTCATCGGCATAGTCTCATCCTTTTTGTCAATCCCACTAAAATATGACAAACGGATGGAATCAAGGAAATGATTTTTCCGTATGCTGCTTGCAAAAGAATAATTGCATTCTAATTTAGCTATTCAAATGTGTGTGTGTGAGAGAGAGAGAGAGAGAGAGAGAGAGAGAGAGAGGGAGGGAGGGAAGGAGGGAGGGAGCAGACTTATGGGAATGATCATAAACCTACCCCTGGAAGCTACACATTGCAAATTTTTTAATTTCAAAAGACAGGAAGAATTTTCAGTGGAGGAAAGCAAAACACTCCAGAGCTTGTTAACTTGTTTATGATACACTAATGTTTCAAAGGGAAGGAAATAATATAAGCAGCAATTTGGACTTTTAAACCATGTAGACAGAAATGTTTTATGAAGTACAATCAAATGGGTATAATATGCTTTAAAATGAAGGGTGTTTTCCCTCCACTGTACATCTCCACTGTATTGGCCTGGGATGATTTGGTCCTCATATGCTGTTTGCTTACATGTTCCTTAGGCGGCTCCTGCCAGACTAGGAATAGTAAGCTCAGAAGAAATGCCGGTGAGTCATGATAAGTTGAAATATGCCTCCTTAATTACTACATTAATTTACACTGTGAATGAATGAAAAAGCAAATTCTGTCTACAAAGATACCTTATGCCAGTTTTCCCTTACCTGGTGCCACCCAGATCTTGATGGGCTCCAGCTCCCATCAGATCTTGTCTACATAGCCAGCGGTCAGTGATGTTGGGAGGTTTCTACCCTAAAACATCTGGGGGACAGCTGGTTGGGGGATGGCTGTCTTATGCTATAAACATTAAAAGCTAAGTATTATAATAGCTACCATTCAAGGGACTCTATGAATTGTAGTGATGGCATTCAGAGTTGCTAAGGAACATTTCTCGGTTACCTCACAAAAAAATTGACAGTACTTGGAGATGTCATTACCCTCAAACTGATATAATGCTGATTACAGGATTGTAATGTCAGCAGATCTCCGTAATTCTCCTACATGGCTAGATAAGTATCATAGTACAGGTTCACCAATATTGAGTGATGTATGCAGTTTACCACTGATGCTGGAAGAGAAATATTTGGGAGAAACAAATATATAGCAGGGTTTCTTTTTCTTTTTTTCTTTTTTTTAAGCCTGTCAGCGCCAAGGAGGGTTAAAAAAAAAAGCTTGTCCTTTGAATAAGCAGCCACACCCTTTTTGACACAAAACATTTTCCCTCAATTAAAAGAAACTACTCCAATCTGAAGGGACGCGGGTGGCGCTGTGGGTTAAACCACAGAGCCTAGGACTTGCCGATCAGAAGGTCGGCGGTTTGAATTCCCGTGACGGGGTGAGCTCCCGTTGCTCGGTCCCTGCTCCTGCCAACCTAGCAGTTCAAAAGCATGTCAAAGTGCAAGTAGATAAATAGGTACCACTCTGGTGGGAAGGTAAACAGCATTTCCGTGCGCTGCTCTGGTTTGCCAGAAGCGGCTTAGTCATGCTGGCCACATGACCCAGAAGCTGTCTGTGGAAAAACGCCAGCTCCTTCGGCCTATAGAGCGAGATGAGCGCCGCAACCCCAGAGTCGGCCACGACTGGACCTAATGGTCAGGGGTCCCGTTACCTTTTACTCCACTCTGAATCAGTAAGTGATCCCCAACACTAAAATCCTACATTAGACTTTAATTCACCAGGAGGTGAATGAGAATCAAGCCCAGAATATTCCATTAAACACATACCTGGCATCAGAAATGCCAGCCCTATTTTTTAATACTCCCTTCTCATCCCAAAACATCTAGAGCAAATGTTTCAGCACTGAAGTCACAGCCCCCACTAGTAACAGACCATGATGTGGAGCAGGAAAACATGCATTGGTTCAGTTTGCTCGACACCTCTCTCCTCCCCTGGCACAAGCAGCAGCAACAAACCATGCTCCCTGGTTTAGCCTTTCATCTGAACCAGGGACTGCTCTCTTGTTTCACTCAGGCCACAGTTGGTAAGCCCAAGAACAAACGAAAGGGAGCAAAGGAAGGGAGTGAAAACCACAAACTCCAGTTTGGGTATAACACTAAGCCAGGGGTTGTGCAAAGCAAGGAGTGAAGTGAGAGTCCCCTGCACATTCACAGCTATATTAACTATAGCTTACCGTAATGTGAAAATACTGCTGCCAGTGTGGATATTGCAAGAGCTCTGCTAAATGCTACTGGGGTGGGCAAGGGCAGAGATTTAAGACATGGTTTTCATTTCATGGACATGTAGCACTGCTCCCTGGAGACCACCTTTCCTCCTAATATTACTGGGAGGTTGACACCAGTGGTACAAATGGAAATACCAGTGCAAATGGTTAGAGCATGCTGCTGATAATGCCAAGGCTACAAGTTTGATCCCCATATGGGAAAGCTACACATTACTGCTTACAGGGCAGATGATCCTCAGGGTCCCTTTAAACTCTACAATTCTATGAAATATCTTAGTTGAGATTCTAACTTTGGCAAAATCCACATTTGTTTTTCATAGCAGGGTAAAACTTAGCAATGGGAATTTATGGCAGTCGTGGTAATGGGACACTCTGAATTTTTTTCTCTCCCAGGGTGGTGGATTTGGCGCACCAGCCTATCACGCACCAGGCCCAAACCTGTTTGCCATGGATGCAAGATATGGAAACATGCAACCAAACCTCGGTGGGCCAGGTGATTACACTGTGGAAGACGACCAGCTTGGAATAACAGAGCAGCCTGAAGTTCAAGGAGGAGCCAACGCAGGAGCTAACCCTTCAGGCAAGGGGAGCAACATCATCTCCCTAGATGGCACCCAGGGTGGTGCCTTGCCCAATGCCAACAGCAACCTGCTAAACCCTGCGGCCCAGAGCAAAGGACCAGCAGGTGTACCCCAGGCCACAGCAGCCCCTCCGGCAGCTGAAGGGCTCCCTGACAGCTTCATGCCTTTTAACGCTGACGCTGCCATGCCTTTGGATCCCACCATGTTCCCCAACACCGTACCCACAGCCAATGCAGGAAATGAAGCTGGCTACCCACAAGTAGGTCAAGATATGTGGCATTTCCAAGAGCCTTGAGTGCCCTTAAGCAACGCATGCCCACTTCTGCTCTTCAGGTATTTCCTGTGCTTGATGCATTGGCTTAGGAGGACTATTAATCTTCTACACAATGAGCACCAAAGCATTAAATGTGCTAATCAATGTATGCAGCTTGTGGCAGTGATGGTGTAATTTCCCGCCTCCCCCGCCCCCCCCATGTCTTACATTTCACGTCTGGAAAAGCAACAGAGGTGCCAGATGATTAATGGCTAAAAAATGAATTCTGTTTCTGCTGGCAATCGCGGAGGTTCCCTTCCCTTTTGTTTATGCCATTTTAGCTTTCATATGCTTTAAGCCCTCGCCTGATTGATATTTTAAAGAATGATTATTATTTATGAAACCTTTGGCATTAGAAACTAGAAATGCACTCAAGATTTATAAGCAGTTGCGTGTTAATCTGGAGCTTACGGTTGGTGTGTGTCTCTGATTCTGATTAGAAGGCTCACTGTGTTGCATTGATTTATGTAGGCAGCATGTAATAAACTTTTATTTAGCCATATTAATGCTTCTTGAGGCTTGCTTTTCTTAAAATGTCGAGTAAATGACAGCGCAGTTATGCAAAAGCTGTTCACAAACATAACCAATTCTTAACCCTCAGTTGGGTCACCTTTTCCTTCCCAGATACTTTGCCTACTGCACATTACACGCAGAACTTTCAGGTAACCAGATTTAATTTTGGGGAAACCAAAGTCCCCCATTCATACGCTTCCCTGGTTGGCCAAGGTCATGTCCCTAATCCCCAGGGGCAGCCATCTTGTTTTGCTGCCTAATGAAGAATGGGAAAGTGCTGTCCCTGCCTGCAGCTGAAGTCTCATTTACCAGGGTCACATGGCAGTAGCTTCTGGTGAAATCTCTCTGGAAGCCAGCCAGAAATCTCTCTGTGCCCCGCAGCGGTGGTAGGGGGAGGCAGGGTACCCATGGAGGCACCATGCCATGGGATTGTACTGCAAACCCCATAAACTGAACTGCTGACACACCCAATTTTACAGATGCAACTCCCTTTGCATCCCTCTTTACTTAGCATATAGATTTGCAACTGGAGAAGCCAGGTGTAGCTCAAGGCCTTCCAGCTGCTTTCCTAGCACAGACCTTGAACTGCCAAATTGTCATAATCTAGGCTAGGGACATGTGATGCTAGATCAGAGCAGGGTCCATGCATTCTTTGTTCCAAAGCAGCCAGTCCAAATTCCTCTGGGAAACGTCCATGCAATTCCAACACACTTTGTGAAAGATTTTTGGTGGTCAATCCAATACCTTTTGCTGCCAGAGGCCATCCTGCTACTGCCACCCTCAGGCCCAGGTCAAGGTACAAAACTATTCAAGGGGGACTAAGGCATTTTAAGAACTGTGACAACATATTCCACAAGCACTACCCTCTTCTTCTTCTGACAGACTATTTGCTGCCCTTTCATGACACCTCAAACCAGTTACCTGTCTTTACCTAGACCTGGTTTTATTTCTTTGGCTGGAAGGAAGGAAGGAAGGAAGGAAGGAAGGAAGGAAGGAAGAAAGAAAGAAAGAAAGAAAGAAAGAAAGAAAGAAAGAAAGAAAGAAAGAACTTGCTCTCCCACTGCCAGTTGCGCCAGCCTTCACAGACATTGTTTACTGGAGGGGTTTTCCAGTGATAAAATAAATTACTGTATTTTGACCTGTTGACCAAATGAAGAGTCTGACAGAGAGTCTGGGTTGAACTAGAGCCTCTTTATAGAAGACTAAAACCCAGAGAAACCCTGCAGAGGGCAACACTATTGCATACCCTCCAACATTTCTCTGATGAAAATAGGGATGTCCCATTCCACAGCAACAACAACAACAACAGCAACAATTTTATTATTTATACCTGCTCATCTGACTGGGTTGCCCCAGCCACTCTAGGTAGCTTCCAACATATATAAAAACATAATAAAATATTAAACATTAAAAACCTCCCTATTCAGGGCTGCCTTCAGATGTCTTCTAAAGGTTGCACTGTTACTTATCTCCTTGACTTGGGGGTCGCATAACATAACTCCATATGTCCCGACATTTCTCCCATGAAAATAGGGATGTCCTAAAGAAAAGCAGGGCATTCTGGGATCATATCAGAAACCAGGACAGCTGGAAAATAGGAACCCGTGGAGGGTCTGCTATTGGTGCAGGAGCAAACCTGAACCCAACTGCAGCCTCTAGAGTGCAGGCGCTGGAAGCATGGCTGTCCAGCCTACATTCTACTTCCAGACTATACCCTGAATGTGTGTAGGAAGGCCTATACTGCTCCACCGGCAAGGCTCCATAGCTTCAGGCTGATGAAGCAGTTTAGTGTCAGAAGCAGCCCATATCCCACCTCAAAGCCCAGACAGGAAACCTCAAGGGCAACCCATCACCCTGAAAGGTGCCTAAAGGGGGTCACCAGGCTGAAACACAGCTGCTCCCCTTCCCACACCTGAACTCCCACAAAAGGGGGCAAATCTCTATTTAGTCCCCTTTCCTCTATAGCTCACCCATTGGGCTAGTGAGATGGTTATATCCTTGCAACACTGGTCCGTCTTCAACCACCATAGCTGAAGATGAGCCTGGCCATCAAGGGTCAACTGAGAAAACTGCTCCATCAAAAAACTGGCACTCCCCAGAATCAGAAGTGCCAGAGAAAATCATTTAAACAGTGCACCACCTGTGCCAGACCTGATCACCTCTTGACCACCCACTCCAAAAAATGTACCAAACATGTACCAAGCAGCCAATTGTAAAAGCTATGTCAACAAAACAAGAGCTACCCATCAAGGCCCAACAAATAAAAATCCCAGGGCTGACAGGCAAAAGGCAGATTTAATGTCGCATTTGCCCATCAAGGACCCACTAACACAGTTTTGAACCATACAGATCAAAGGAGGTATAGGAAACTGTGCACAACTGATCTGGGATGTGATGATTGAGTGATGGGACAAGTGGTGAATAAGCTTAAACTCACTTGGGGCTTTCTAGGGCACTATAACTAGAGGCAACACCCTAAGAGAGGGCATTGGAGGGACAGAAAAGAGGCCTAAAACCTTGCCTTTGTTAAATTCCTTATCTATCTTCTGCCAGGCTAGAGACTCCATGCCTAATACCAACTTCAGATTCCTTGCAAAAGAGGGTGCTGTGGGCCCTCATAAGGGATGTGAAAACTAAAAAGAATACCTCCCTGAGGTTTACCTCAGTATCCTCCCTAAGGGGATAGTCCTCCAGAATTTGGCACATGGCATCCACCCTAGTTGGACATGGCCTTTTTTGAGATGCACTGTCCTCCCTCAGATCCTGGATTTTTGCCCTGGGAATCCCTGTAGCTGTACTTTAAGAATTGACACATTCAAATTATGAGAGGTCCCACAGATGGAGCAGTCCTGTTGACATTTGTAGGGATTCGGTGTGCAAGGGCCACAGGAGCTGTACTCCCACAAATACATCCCACTGGCTGGTACTGAGGTGGACCAGGTAGTGGACTGGACCTTTGCCATATACAGAGGCCTCATAATCCAAACTGTGTTGGCAGCCATCACAGAGGCAGTGTCGTTTATTATTACAGCTGAGCGATGTGTTGGCAAATATGGATTCTTACCATTCTTAGAAAGTTTTGAACCGGACCTTTGGGACAGCGTGAACACTTTTTGCAAAATAAATAAATAAATGAACCACATACACATTAAAGTTTTTGAATATGTAAGGCCCCAGAGGCAAAACGAGGCCATATTCTGGAGCTGCTTGGCAGGAGCTTTTGCCTGGAAAGATATGTGGAGAATAATTAGTTTAGTACTCAGAACTCCAGAAGAAATCTGTGCCTCCACAGCTATCTTGGGAGCGTTGCAAAATGCTGTTGCCATGAGCAACGAATCCTGTCCTTGTGACCATGAGCCCAGTCTCAGAACGATGTGGATGTCACAAACACCCCCTCCTTCCCTGAATTCCCTGCACATGGAAAAGCCTTTGTAAAGAAGGGGAAGGGTCATGTCTTGTGCCTGGTGGGACTGGCAACCTGATCATGAGGAGCAGAGTCGACCTCTTATTTAGCACCAGGACCCTGCGCTGCAATGCAGCAATCGCCTCTTTCTCTTGCCTGATTCTGTGTGTCTTCAAAGCACACATTACTTGTGGTGACGCAAAAGGGGGCTTCTTCACTGGTGGCATCAGTGCTTTGGAATGCACTCCCTGGTGAAACATGAGAGGTCCAATCTGTATTGGCACTGCACTGTTTACACAGGCATTCCCAAGATCTTTAGATCCAAATCTCCTGTTTGTATTGATGTGTTGTTCTAACATATATTTTAATCATGGGTATTTATATTTTAATGTTTGTATAACTGGTTTTAATAATTTGCAAACCATTTAGAAGCCTATTTTGGCATGAAATGGTGTATAAAGTTGTTGTTGTTGTTGTTAAACATGAGTGAATGGCTTATTTTGTGCTGTGCTTTGAAGGCACTTTAAGGCAGTTAGACAAATTCTTCTTCCTCTGTGAGTCTGCAAATCTCATCACTCAGTGAGATTCTGACCTCATTCTTTCTTGAATCCCCCAAAGATACCAAGATCTCTTAAAGATATCCGGGGATGGGGGGACGGGACAGGGCAAACACAAGTAATGACCGGGCTGCCTGTATTTTGGATCTGTATATCCAACACTGTAAGTCCTAGACAAATACACACTACTGTGAATTCACAGAGCTCTGTTAACAACTGAGACTTGGTGCATGGATAGACATTGGCCCCATGTGCACTGAACAGCACAACACACTAAAATTTACAGTTAGGAGGCATATTATGAGCTGTAGAGCACAGAGAAATATGGAAAGATTTGTTCAAGGTGTTTGGAAGGTTTTGATGAAACCCATTACAGTTTTATGAATGTAACTTGAAAATATATTCCCAGAGGGTGAAAATAGGGCAGCACCAAATAGAAAAGAGAAGGGAGGGAGGAAGGGAAGGAGAAAGAAAGAAAGAAAGAAAGAAAGAAAGAAAGAAAGAAAGAA